CATCATACAAGCGCGCCCCGGACGGCATGAATGCCGGGGCCACGGAGCGGGTCAGATGAGACCGGACGGCGACTTCCTATGACCGTAGACGCGCAATCTACTTGTTTTTTGGTTCTTCTTCCCCGCCCGCCGGGACCAACGCCCAGGTTGCGAGTTGGTCACAGAGTTGCTGCCCAGCGGCGACGGCGGAGGGAGGCTACGGCGATTTCGCAAGTCCCCGTTTCTCGTATTACCGTCGTCACCCTGTCTTTTGCCATCCGGTGCCGTGGCGCCGACTTGTTGCACTTTCTCTTGGCTTTTTCTGCTTTCGGCTGATTTTTCTTCCATTGCCACGAGGTAAGTGGGAATAAGTAAGTTAAGCGTTTCTGCCTGCCAAGGGACGTCCCAACGCCAACCCCGGATCGTGACCAACTCCTCAGTGCCACCCCACCAACGACATGTACTTGCTCACTGCTTCCCAATCCAGAGCATTCGCCGCCTCGGATCCTTTCTCGGCGATCCGGGGCGACAAGGCATCATATGTACGAAGTATCTCACGTGCAGATATCTAGTCTGCTCGGAAGCCGTCCGGGATTTTGCTGAACCGGATCACAGTAATTCAGGTTGGTACTTGCAGATAGAAGAGATCCAATTATTTGGCCAAGGGAATGGATCCTCAAGAAGACACGCGGTGAGATTCTGGCGTTTGCGTGAGATTCGCGTCGGCTCCGCGTAACCATGGCGAACAAAGGAACCGGGAAATTTTTTCAATGGCAATCTTATGACCCCACGTGGATTTTCCAGGTATTGCCAATTGGGAGAGTATCTGCAAGCCAAGATTTCGATTCCCAGCTTCGGGATCCAAATACCATGGACTCTGGGAGGGTTTCCCAGATCCAACCAGCCATAGGTCCCCTTTGCTTCGGTCGTGAAAGTTTATTGCAAGTTTTGCAAATTGTAACGAGCCAACCCGTATGGATCTTTCCGGGTTTTTTCGAATGGGGAAAACCTGGCATCAAGTCGCAAGTGCAACGTCGAACGGGCTTCCAACGTGGTAATGGCCCAATGGGTCTTCAAAAGCTTGACTTAGCTGAGAGTCTGAGCCCAAAGCTGGTGGCACGGGGTGGATAAAGAGGAACCAAGTAATTTAGCAGCTTTCTCCATAACTGTTTGTATGTTCTTTCGTCGGAGGATTTCATCCAGGTGGCTCCTTGGGAGTTGAATGTTGGGGTTTCCAGGTTGACTTCCCCCATTCCCCTCCATATGCAGAGGGAAACTTTACGGTTCTTGTAGGCAACGATCTTCTTACCTCTGGTAGAAGCGTCAACGGCGTCAACGGCGTCGCGAGTGAAGCCCCTTCAAACGCGAGATATGTGTTTTCTCTTTTCTGCGCATATCGCGGCTGCATCCTCTGAAAAGGTATTGTTATCGTCAGTGGGATGGATTGCTTCGGATAGGTGTTCCTTTGAGTTTGGTTGGCTAGCTGGGTTCTCATCGGCATCTGGATCTATCTTGCTTTCCCGTGATACACACGTCATGAAATGTGGGATAAGCGCGCGGAGAGTGAGTTTCGCGGTAGAGTTTCCCACTCTGAGACGAGATAAAGACTGCCCGCGTTCGGGGAGAATGAAAGGAGAACGTTATTCGTGATCCCTCATACGACAGAGCAGGGTGAGATGAGTGAGATTCCTCCGAAAGATAGTAGAAAAGGCTAAATTGGTTGAATCGGTGACGACTACACTCCGTCCCCACGGTTTGGGGAAAGGGGTCCCAAGGGTTCGATACTGGGGTCTTACGAGAGGATGGATGTGTTTAGTTTGAGATGGTTGGAGGGGACATGCTGACTCTTTTGGGTTATTATACTTTGGGCCTGCGTGTTGCATGTGCAAATGTGCGTGTTGTCCGCTTGGCAAGCTCGTGGTAGTGCTCACTGCGTGCTGCGCATCTAATGGGAAGAGGGGAAAGTCAATTCTGCTCCGGCGGACTCAACTCCTAAGTTTCTTGAGCAAGGGAGATGCCAAAATGCTATTGGCTCAAGGTTTCCCTCCCTGGTCTTGCGTCTGCATGTGGTATTAGGTTTGAGGCCGAGTTGGAGATATTGCGTGATGGGTTTGGCGATTTTTGACGCTTACTGGATTAGGAGTTTACGAGGATTTGGACATGAATGATGACAAGAACGAATTTGAGGGATATATTTTATTGCAAACTAGCGGGCATAGTCATACTGGACCCTGCCGAGCTCTGTGAGATGTCTTGGCTGAACTGAGAAACTGTATAGTAAGTCTATGTTTTCAAGTGGCATGTGGAAATTGTGATTTCAATTGGCAATATGATTCTCTGAATAGGCTTATGTATCAAATCAACTTTCTCACTTTACCATGTTGCCCAGAGATATGTTTATGATGAGAGTGACAATTTAAATCACATCAATTCTTGTACTAAAATCAAGGAGAGAGGGCTCGTCGTTTCCGACTTTAAAATACCAAGACATTATTGATCATTCCGCCTCAAAAGTTGCTAAAATTCTACCATTGGGTTTTACTTCGCTAGAAGGCTCAGCTGTAAAACTCTGGTTGTCTACGCTTTTGTATGAATATTTAGAAGATCTCGGGCTCTTTCATAGACTAATGGCGTCTGGAATTTAACTATGTTCTAGATTTGTAGCTGCCATTCTATAAGCTCTTCGCACTAAGCAAGTGACCACAGCATGACTATGAGCCCTGTGATCAGTTCCTAGCTTATTTGAAGAATTTCCTTCAAGCCCATAACTTGATGTTTCTTCTCTTTGAACTTGGAGACGACCCTTGAAGCAAAATTTGGTGTACTTGAAGTTTCCTAAAACATAGATGACCGAAACGGATCTGGGTTGCTGGCGATACAGAAGTTGTGAGAGCTCATCATGCTCGTACATTTCCGCAAAGACACCTTCTATCTCTAGGCCTAGAGTTTTGAGATCGCGCAATATGCATTTACTTGGTACAGCTACCGCAAAGCAGTGATCGGTTTCGAGTGTTTGGAGCCCAAGGTACAGATCAAGATAATTTGGGTTGTCAGATTATGGTTGAACGCAAAGATGCCTTCAACTTTTAAGAGGCATGCGTAGTTTGATGCGAATAATGGGTGTAGTAATTTGAACTGAATCCCGTTGCTTCTGGCTGCTCAAGGTTTACTATCACCCATATCGCCCATGAGTTTCGTTCGAAAAGAATGTAAATTTTGGATACTTGTAGCAACGTAGTATAAGCGATCCAGACAAGATCTTTTGGCTCACTATTTCAGAGCTTTCTTGACGTGGGACTTAAAATCGTCCCAAAATCGGGCAATTTAGGTGATTGTCTTTCCATATCGTATCTAGTCGACATCGTGCTGAGCACACCCAGTTCAACTACTTCCAGCTAGCTAGCTTTCCTTACGTGAAAGCTCCCCTAATCATTTGTATTTAATTTACTACGAATATTACCACCATCTTAGTGGATCTGTCTCTCCGTGGTTTCTTCACCTTTCTCCAAAGATTTCGTGGGTCATGGAGATTTAGTCGCAAGCCCTAGATGTCGAACTCCCTCATCTTGCCACACTCCGAGGACTCTCCTGGTGATTTCCAAGAAATCCAAGTGGTGTTTCCCGTTTTAAAGGAGACTCATGAAGAATGTACTTGGCTGTTCTTTCTTTGACTTGCTTCCTTCATATCCATTTCGTTGTTGCAATCTTGCAAGCAAAGCAATATCGCTACCAACAAGAGGTGCACTTTGAACTTTTGACCCGTGAAAAGGAATGCGACTCTTCAATTATTTCTGAGACAAATGTTCTGAAGACCCCACTCTGTCTTTCTATTCTGCTGTAGTTTCTTCCATCGCCGAGGCCCTCAGGTAACTTCCACGTATCGCCCTTCCTCCATCGCCGACGCCTTTGCCTATCTCTACCAAAGCGTTTGAGGCTTTCACAACTCTTTTCCATCTGTTGGCTGTCTAATATATCATCGCCATGACCGGTATCCCTTTTCAAAGGGTGTCTATCTTTGTCCTGCCGGCTCTGGTTCAATGTTCCACAGGTTGAAGCCGGTGTCAGTGTTCTCTCCCATCCCCATTGGGATTCATCTAAAGCTGATATAGCACCTCGGCAACGAGTCAACCTGCGTGAAGTTCTGCTACTGTGACAGAATGACAAGGTATTCGTCGACTTCCTGACCCGGACAAGCCCTTGGACAGCAATGGCTGCACCTTCCTTGGGGTCTTCAACTTACCGGGTGACCTCAGTTATGGTAGCTCTAGTCACGATCTTGAGCGTATCTCGAGCGATCAATATCTCATCTATTGATTTGCTAAGTCTTCCCTCGTGGGAACCACTAGCATCAATGTTCCCGAGAAAATGGCCGACAGCATAGAGAGCACCTTCCGGAACGAACTGAAGGGCGGAGAGATCCGCTGGAAAGCTCTGGTTTCCGAGAATTACCGCCGCCCCCCCCCTCCCCCCCGCGCAGTCATTGAAGAATACTTCATAAACACTTGCAAAGTGGTGGCATCAGTCTGCCGGGAACGCGGAGATACCTTCAAGAACGTTGTTACTACACATCCTTACCGCAATAAGATGGCTCTACAAGAGGTGTTCCTAGGACTTCTTCAAGTTATTGCTCCAGTCGTGCTAATGAGTGACTCCAGCTTGGTTGATGAACCCGTGTCCTTGGCCACGACTTACTGCAGAATCTTTCCCGCTGAATCGACGGGAAAGTAGAGATGGTTCATCGACTGCTTGTTCTTAAATTTGGTGCGAATTGTCTGTCAGGATGTTTTTTGTCTTTTGAAGCCGAGAATGGGGATTCGTTGACTAAGTTGATTTGATCGACAGCGTACGGCTGTCTTTCTAGCTTAAGCGGAAGAATTCAGAGAGCGGCAGCGTCGAGAAACCCGACTTCTACTACATCAACACTGGCATCGAGATAGACTAGCCCGGCGCATATGGAGGCGTAGATTATCGCGCCTTACCTCATCGAGCAAGCGATTCGAATTGACCTTGGCGGAAAAAGCATGATTTCAGACGATGATGACGAATTGGAGACTGTTGTAAAGGCGATTATGGCACAGCTCCAAGAGAAGCATAAGGCCAAGCAGACCGGCAGCAGAGCAGTCCAAGTGCGCGGCGCAAACCGCACTTGAAAGTGCAACGCTGACGAAGCGCAGAAGCTCTTTTGACAGCGCTTATTGCTAGGGCTTGTATATCATACAGACGTACCTGGATAACTTGCGTCGTCTCAAGGGAGGCTGGGACGTTGCGACTGCTATTGCTCTCACCGGTAGTAGCTTCGAAAACAAGGCTGTCCCGAATGAGGTCAAAGACTTGATTCGATACTGGAAGGACATGGACGACGGAAAATTTACCATCTTCAACAGTCATAGCCAGGCTGACTTCCTGTAAGGGTATCCCTCAAAAATGTCTTATAAGAAAGCCAAGTCTGCCGGACGGAAGGAAGTAGGTGCACTGCTTCGAGAAAGTACTTACTCGCATCTCACTAAGCAGCTCGACTGCTGCCGCCAGGGGCGAAGCCCTAGTCAATACTTATTATCAAGAGACTGTCCGCCAAGTCCTAGACGAAGGTGCCGCGCTCATCCTCCAAAGCACGTCTCCCGGCTCGAAATAGACTCAGCGCTTTCGCCTTCATAAAGGGGTGTCCAACAAGGTCAGATTAAATAACCCTTCGAGCATGACTATAGCCTGCAAGCCTTGCCAAGCTTCTGACGACGGTAACTACTACCAGTACAAGGCGGGGGACGGCACTTAAACCCTCTGTTATCTGCCCAACATCGGAACCTCCTGGATCTAAGAGTACACGATTGGTTACTTCGGTTCCGAATCTTAGCTGAGACGGGATAACCTCATGATTCTTAGCGTCATCACCACGGGTGCTAGCGCCAATCCCGTTTCGCGGGATTGCCGCTTCAAGATTCCCGTCAATATGGATCTTGGTGGGAGGACCCTGACGATGGACGCCAATTCCGAATGGAAGCCTGGCGGTACAAGTAGCCCAGGCCGCTGGCCTCTTGTCACCGTCGCAAAGATCATCAGGTACTGACGACGAAGGCGCGATTTGAATGATTGAATAGGAATCATCCGGACAACTGGCCATTATATGGTAGTGGGAGAAGCCACAAAGGAGGGTGAGCCCCAAAGGGTATTGGCTTTTAGTCTGATAAACGCACCTATGCGTACATAGGCCTCATTTCAGGGTCTGTCGACTTTGTCAGCGGTTGTGGAGAGGGTAGCCTCACTCACGTAGACCGTAGATAGCACTCTTGAAGTGCCCCAGTGGCTGTTAAGGACCAAGATCAAGCCTATGATACCTATCGAACCATGAAAGCCATCAATCGAGGCTTTTGGTTAGTCGCTTATACATGAACACACAGCGCGCTGCTGTCCACTTCCGACGGTCTTGTGCTAGTCCGCCCTCCCGTTCCTCGGCATCTAGACCGTCGGATAGTAGACATCACGGGTCGATGGTTCGACAGACTCATGATAGGGAACGCAAGAGACCTTCATGGTCCCGAAGATGGGATGGGGGCATCTTGATTGTTCAATGGGAGAAGTCCCTGTAGTCCAAGATAAATATATCTCGCTCTTCTTAACAAAGCCCGCCCTATGCACCTAATTAAACCCATGAAAAAAATAACAGTAATGGAAATGGATAGACTTTGTGCCGTCGTCTCATAAAACCCAAACGCTGATAACCACGCCATTTGTTCTCCTTGCTTCTCTGCCTCCTCTTGGCTCTTTGATCTTTTCTGTCTCGTCTGGATCTGGATCGTTTCTCTCGCTTCTCGCTTCTGTCTCGCTCTCTCCTCTTTTTTTCTACAAACTCCCACGGGGTGTATGACCGCAACACCTCCCGTTCAGCATTTGAAACAATCGGAAATCATTCTTATTGCACCTCCTTCTCCTTTCCCTTCTCATTCGTTGCTGTGTCGTCTTCGTTGTAGAGGCCGTGCTCGTCAATGTACTTGATGACTTCAGCAGGGATGAGCTAGAAATATGTTAGCTGTTGGTTGCCTCCAAGGCGTTTGACGTTGCTTTTGGGTGGTTGGAAACTCACGTAGTCGATGCTCATGTTCCTCCTCAGCAACAATCGAATCTTGGTACTCGACACATCGTTGGGAACGACTTGCGGAATGTAGTAGATCTGGTCCTCGTACTCCTTAAGGTTACCAAGGGCCTCATCAATGTTCACGCCAGCTCTCTCAAGCACAAAGGCGCCAAAGTCGCCGAGGATGTGTCTCAAATCGGAAGGTGACCAGACGCCCGGCTGACTCATCGTATTGATCAGGTCGGCGCCAGCCAGCACGGCAATACGCACGCGCTTCCCGTTGCAGCCGCCGCGCTTGACGTTGATTTCGTGCTCAAAGTGATCGAGGACGAGGGCGGTGGGCACGTAGGCCGTCTGCTCGGCCTCCCAAGGGTCGACCATGAGGAAGCGCGAGGTCTGCTCGGCGGCGATCTCGCACATGCGGCGGCGGTGGCAGGCGGGTGCGAGGCCGCGCTTCTTGTAGGCGTCGGAGACGGGGGAGAGGTAGGAGCCGATGAGCTCAAAGTTTGTGTTGTAGCGGACGTAGTCTGCCGCCATGACGGCCATGCGCAGGTGAAGGAAGGTGATGGGGCTGTAGGAGCCGGGAGCGACGAGGACGAGGGGCTCGCGGTCGGGTTCGGATTGCTGGAGGCGGAGGCGGTGCTCCGGGAAGGAGTAGCCGGGGGGCGCCATGGCCTCGATCTCCTCGGGGGTGGCGACCATGGTGAAGGTTCGCGAACGGGAGTTGGCGGCGGTGATGGCCGCGGCGAAGGGGTTGTTGCTGCGCGGCGTGCTGAGACGCCGGAGAGTGGTCAACGGACGGTGGTAGTAGGCTGAGGGCGGTAAAAGCCGGAAACCAGCTCTCATCAACTTTTCGCTCTATTCCCTTGGGTTGCTGTGCCTTTGTCGTCGGTCGTCGGTCGTCGGTCGGATGACTGGTTGGATAGTAAGGTGGTCCTGTAAGAGGAGAGAATGGGTATCGACTATGGGTAGGGCGGGGAGGAGCTAAGGGAAGGTCGGCGAGGGCTCCGTGATGTTCCTTGAGGGGTTCGGTGTCTCGGAATGCGGCTATCGGTTCGGTCGGTGCCTGGACCAAAGGCAGCAGCGGGCGGAAGGGGACGGGGGACGGAGAATGACGGGATCTGCCTGTGAAGAAAAACAAGAGGTGGAATTGGTCAGCCTCGCGCCAAGTACGTCATGCGGCGATGGTGAATAAAATAGGAAATGCGATGAAAAGCGTACCTGTTTTTATTGTGCTGAACAGTTGACGCTGGTCAAGGTAATTGAACAGTGACCTTTGGGGTTTTTTTCTTGGGACGACGGGAAAATGGACGTTTCTGGTTGCTGAGGGGTGTGTTTTGGAGTTTCTGAGTTCCGGTCGGGGATTGCGTGACTAAGGTTAAGAATGACACTGAGACTGCCCTTCTTCTGGGGGGATAAAATATCTCGTTTTGGTTCTGAACAGGCGCAGAGGCTGGGGGGAGGGAATGAAGTGGGAGACTGGAAGCGGGAGTGGGAGTGGGAAGTGCGTGCGTATGTGTCCGTGGGTGCGTGGGACAGCGTTGCGGCAGTGCGGCGTTACGGCGTTCGTCGCAGTTGGTGGTGCAGGGCGGGACGCAGGTGCTTCGCATCGAGGGGTTAGCGGGGTTACCTACCTGGAGGGTTAGGTTTAGTCATCCAAGCACCCCGCCGCGGGATACTCTGTGATTGGCGAGGCTGTACGTCGGCCGCATCGGAGAAAGACCGGTACCATTGCGGAATTGCTCCAGGCCCCGGCATCTCCGTCTTCGGGGCTTCCTACCTTGCTAGTGATGATAATTAATTGTTCTTATTATTCTATCCTTTAGCTATTTGTTTTACTGGCATCTCGAAACTGGTACGAAAGTATGCATTGGCAAATATCTCCAACAAGAGGCACTTCCAGGTTCTGGAGGCCTACGATGCATTTCACGGCGTCAAGTGCCGAGGTGAGGGGTAGGCGAGGTGCGAATGGTCGACCGGCAAAGGCCGTTATCACCGGCAGGTTGCGCTTACCCAGTTCCTTCCTTCCCTTGAAGTAAGGTAATCAATGGGAACTGCCCGGAAAGGAGCCTGGTCCATGAATTCAGGAATTTCCGATCAATAAACAGGGTTAACTGCTGAGGATCCATCATTAAGGCACCTGAAGTCTGGAGAATGCTCTAAGGTAGTCTCAACGCTGAGATGCTTCAGAGCTACTCCGTACCTTGCACTGTATTTGTACGACGGTGTTCTTTCTGTCCTGAAGAACGTCCCTCAGCCGCATGTTAGCTCTTGCTATGGATTCATGCAGAGGCATCAATCTCGTTCAAAGTCTTATCTCATGAGTATCAAATTAGCAGCCTCGGCCAACGCAATTCATTCCCAACAATTTGCCCAGCAGAGCAATAAGTCCTGTTTCTCGTGCCTGAGAGATCGACGAACTCAACTCTGAAGAACACGTGCCCCAGCTTCCTCACCCGCTTTATGCTGTCTCACTACCCCAACCTCACCAACGTGTCGTGCGTATGCGTGTGTGCAAGGGAGACCGAGTCGGTCGAGAACTTTAACATCCGTCACCCACGTGACTCACGCAAACGGCGCGTGACCATAGTGCTTTTGAAGAAAACTAGAAGAGGGTTTTCGCATTGCCATCTTTTGACCGCAACATCTCCCCTTGTCTCCGACATCGCCGCTCCCCCAGCTCTGGAATCTAAAGTACCTAGTGGTAAGGTGGTTTCTCAGCTGTTGCTTTGGGAATTTCCTAGCGCTTCTCAGGGCGCTCCAATTGCCATGCTGCCGTTTCACTCGCCTGGGCCAAGACGGTCCCCAAGCTTCCCCCGGCACGAGCTGTCCGATTTTGCCAAGCAAACGCCCAAGGTAAAAAAAAAAAAAGCTTTTTCGGCGAAAAGGCCAATCGCCGTCCTCACTCACATCTCTCAAAATTTACTCCCCAAAATGAGTCAAGGTCGACCAGATTGAGTGAGATTCCGAAGGTTGTCGGAATGAGGAGGTTTCGCTTAGCCACAGACCTGCTCGAGCCACGTTCACTAGCCACAGCGTCTGAAGTGAGATTGGATGGCAGACGGGTGTGATGAACACATGTCGGGGAATCTGAACCGTAAATTTCGGGCTTACTGTCTGAGCTGATGAGTTGGGGTCTCACTCATCGCAAGAACACGTCAATGAGATGAGCGTAACGGAGTTTTTAAGACTTGGTCCCCTACTACTTCAGACTCAGCTCTCCAATCTTGATTGTCGATAACTAAAGCCAGATCACGAGAGAAGGACCTTGAAGTTACCGACTTTCATCCTGGTAGGTCATCAGTCTTCACGATCATCGCATCACAGAAATGGACAACTCATGTATGGCACTATCGAGAATGACGTCTGACAGGTGGGAAAGTCATCGGCCGAATGATGCAGAGTAGCATCCCTATCCAACCTTATTCCAGCATCTCACTTTGTAGACTTACCACCACAGGTGTGTACCGGGTATCCGTACGTAGTAAGGGAATGGGACATGCGCAGGCCCGAAGAGCATCCTCTTTTAAGCCATTCAACCTTATTACTTTACCTGGTATGTATGGCCTCCGTACAAGTAAAGACCAGCCTCGCACACTGCACACTCGTATTTAACAAACAAAGCCCATGTCACCATGTAACTCCAAAACAACTCTCCGGCCACCATCATCAACCTGAGAAACCAAAAATCCTCCGCCGCCCGCCGTGTGTCCACCACACCCCGGCCCCGAGTGGCCCCCTCCTCTGCCCCTTCAATATCAAACCAAACGCCAGGGATTCCCCACCAATTCTGCCCGTTTCGGAGGACGCCTCCCGTCCGCCGTTCCCCCTTGGGAGCTCAAACTTTCTGCCCATTTCCCACCAATCGTCTCAAGATGCGTTTAATCGTCATCCAAATCAGGCAGGCTGGATGTGCTCAATGTAGTCCATTGTCTAAGTACACTGTAAGTGAGTTCATATCGGGTGGTGATCACCAGGACTGAGGTAGATGAATGGAAACGGAGTAATACGCCTACGCAAGGAAGCTACATTTCATTGCTTTTCTACCTTACCTCCCGTGCGGCCAAGCATCCCCGAACCATCCACGGCCGCCATTTAGCTCAACACTACTGACAGGCGCTGTTTTCCGTTCCGTCCCCATGTGCATACAAACCCCTTTGCAATTCCCTTCCCGTAACTGACAGGGTGAGATGGACCATGGGGTGGGTGGTGGCAGACAAGAGGCCCCCCTGAGCAACCACCACACCACCCATCCCGGTGGATCATCACCGCGAAGAAGCTGTCCATCGAGAGTGCAACATGACCAAGAAACGAAACCTACAAAACTAAACCCAGGACCCCTTTTTTCGTCCCATCTTTTGCACTAGGTTCTTCTCTCGAAGTCTTGGAGATCTCGTCACTATCCTGCTACGCGTGCCGTTCCATCCATTCCATCCCTTCGGCTTGCCCCTTGCTATAGCTTCTTTTCAAGCTTCTTTTTCTATTCAACCCCATTTGTTTGGTTTCGAGATTGTCTGGTACATTCGCTTCTGTTTCGCGTTCCTCTCACTTTAGCCCCCACCACTCGCTTCTACCTTGCCCCCTTCCGACGATCCAACACACACACACCATGAAGGCTTCCGCGACATTGTTGGCCGCGGCCGCCATCTTCTACCAAGGCGCGGCCGCCCTCCCCGCCGCCGGCTGGACCGGTACTGCCGTCATCCCGGCCAAGGTCGTCGAACGTGCCGACGCTGCTCCTTCCGCTTTCCCTGGCGCCGAAGGGTTCGGCCGGAATGCGATTGGTGGCCGGACGGGAACGGTGTACAAGGTTACCAACCTCAAGTAAGCACTCACTCTACTTGGCCCTCAGCTATCTAGATTAGGACCTTTTCTGACTTTTATCCTGGGCTACAGTGATTCCGGCACGGGATCCCTTCGTGATGCCGTCTCTCAACCCAACCGAATCGTCGTCTTTGACGTAGGCGGCGTCATCAAGATTGACGCCCGGATCGTGGTGTCCAAGAACGTTTACATTGCAGGACAGACTGCTCCCGGCGGTGTAAGTGACGCCTACACCAGAAAACAAAGTCATGACACCCAGACTAACACCAACATCAGGGCATCACAGTCTACGGCAACGGCTTCTCCTGGTCCAACGCCAACGAGGGCATCGTCCGGTACATCCGCATCCGCATGGGCAAGGGCGGCGACTCAGGCAAAGACGCAATCACCATCGCCGACGGCAAGAACATGATCTTCGACCACGTCTCCGTCTCCTGGGGCCGCGACGAAACCTTCTCCATCAACGGCGACGTCTCCAACGTCACCATCGCAGACTCCATCATCGGCCAGGGGCTCGAGACCCACTCCTGCGGAGGGCTCATGCAGACGAACGAGGGCGGCGTCTCCCTCTTCCGCAACCTCTACATTGACAACAAGACGCGCAACCCCAAGGTAAAGGGCGTAAACTCCTTCATCAACAACGCCGTGTACAACTGGGGCGGCGGCGGCGGGTACATCGCGGGCGACTCCGAGGGCGCGAGTTATGCGAACATTATCCAGAATTACTTCATCTCTGGTCCCTCGACCTCCGTCACGGCCTTCACGCGCGGCAACGCAAACTTCCGCGGCTACGTTAAGGACAACTTCTACGACTCCAACAAGGACGGCGTGCTCAACGGCGCGGCCCTCTGCGTCTCGACGACGTGCTACTCCAACATGGCCATCCAGACCACCGCCTTTGACTACCCCGCGCCCGCGAAGCTCCTCTCCGCCGCCGACGCCGTCGCGCACGTCGCGGCCAAGGTCGGCGCCTCCATTGCCCGTGACAGCGTCGACGCCGCTTTGGTCAAGGAACTCCTGTCCTACGGAAAATCAGGCAAGCTCATCTCCGATGAGGCCGACATGGGCGGCGCGGGCGACATCGCGGCCGGCACGGCCAAGAAGGATACCGATGGCGATGGAATCCCTGACGAATACGAGACCGCCAACGGCTTGAACCCCAATGATGCCTCGGACGGTATGAAGATTGGTGCTGGCGGGTACGCGAATCTTGAGATTTACGTCAACTCGCTCGTTCCCGCCGTGTACTAGGCTTTGTCTAGTCTGGCATTTGGAGATGATTGGAGGTTAAGAGGGACCGAATCTCTATCAAGAGAGAGAAAAACACCTTGGCTGTATATAGCACGCACTTTTTTCACATATTTTCTTGTGTATACCTACTTCCCATCGTCGATTTTTACGACGAGGTACATATCTTCTTTCAAATGGACATAATCCGCTGCCGTTTCCCAAAACTTGCTACTTTGACGAACTGTTCAACGCTCAAATACCCGAGCTGAGCTTCACTTCTCCCTTCACTCCTTCCAAAAGATTGCTGGCAGACACATCGAGGTTGCTTGCTCGTTTGCCGGCACCCGGACCTAGGGCAGCACGGCCGGGGTGGGGCACCGGGGCCACTCTTTCCTTGCTAACAAAGTGCGGATACCTCGAGGTTCGCCCGAGAAGAAGTGGGCCTATTGCGTTACGATCCGAACAATGAGCCTCCTGAGACGCACTATCCGTCTTCCAGAGTTGGCAAGAACTTCACGCCCACCAAGACAGATCATCTCGAAAGCATGTGGCTACGTACGAACCGACTGCTGATCATTCAAATAGAAGCAGCTACAGGTCGAGCCATTGAAAGCTTCGGCCCCCCAAACCAACAGCCAGCAGATGCTGAAACTGGCTAACGCTTTCATCTACAAATCTTTCCAGAGACCACGTTGAAAAGTATCCATGGCATATTTGAAATAGGATGGCATTTTGCCATGATTAACATTGTATCGCCGACATGGTCAGGCAGTGTGCAAGTACTTGGATCGCGCGCGTGACCGACCGCCACGCCTCCGATTAATATACAACTCCAAAATCTTCCATAATATGTGAATGTATGTTGGTGTCCTCCTCGATCAAAAAAGTCCCGCCCAAGTGTTTGCTGCCCCCTCCCAAAGCAGTTCCCATATTGACATCCAGAGTCATCCCCAATCTCAATCAGACGGTGCCCCTTGGAAGATGATCTTCGTCTGAGGCCCACAAACGTCTGGTAGGCGCAATCGATGAATCATATACTAAAGGATCCTCTCATTGCTCGGACGTTGCCTACTCCTGAAGGGACTGTTAACTCGAGTTCACTCGTCTGATCGCTACCAATAGCTTTCGTGTGCCCGTAGCGACCGTTTCGAAACCGGTCATGGTGATCGCTTCGTAGGACCTCGATTCTCACGCCGCCTTGGCGACTTTCGATACCGCAACTCCCAAGTCGGACTTGGTGACGACAGCCCCTATCTTTCCACTCTTCTTTGAACGTCGTCCAACTAGTCATGAAAAAGATGACGGCATTCCATACTCCTTGAAGTGGGAGGACTGTGGCGCTGGCGACGTTCAGGCCAAAGCTGACTACTTCAGGCTTGAGAAGATTGACCACTCTGTTGATCGAGCTTGGTGTCCATGTCACCAAAACAGAGATGGCAAAGATGAAACTGGTTCTGAGGTATGCAAGTTTGACAGGATCTAGACGATCCAACCTGGCAGAGAACTTTGTACCAACACGCCCAATCCGTTGAAAGACAGATCGACGCGGCTTTGGCGGCGGTGGATCTGATGTGCACGTGGTTTCGAAACGAGGGCTTGGTGTACAGTGTCCGTCCTCTTCACTCGTACGCCATGATTGCTGATGTCGGGGCTGTTGGTCATCTGACCCCTTTGTAATGGCTATGGATGGCAGTTGAGGAGTCCAAGGTCTCGGCGCCATCGTTGTGATTTGGATATCCGTCACGGCGGTTCCATAGAAAAACTCGGTACGGGTTGTGAGATTCTAGAAAGTGTCAATTTCTGGCCATTTTCCGAGTGGTTCTGGCTGCTCGACAACGTACCTTTTCTGCAGAGTCTCGCTCATCGGAACAAGATGTATCTTTGCAGTCTCTTCCGGTGTTGCTGAAGGTGAGGTTGTGAAGTTGATTGCGGTGATGGAAGACATGGTAGCCGACGGCAAAATAGATGATGCACGACCCGACGATGCATGTCCAGATGGGAATATAGTAAGTGAATATACGAAGTTTGGACCAATCATGATTTATCCAGCACCATATCTGCGAATGTTAGTCAATGTCCTACATGGCGAGAATAAAGCAAGATCGCCTACGTACTGTGGCATCTCCGTAGATAAGGTCATCCGGACCACGAGGTCGGACTAAGAGACAAACAACGGCTGGGATCATGGGGAATCCAAAGCAGATAGCGCAGTAGACCCAAATGTGGCGTCGGAAGGAAGAAGGATTGGCACCGGCGAAGAAGACGAGGTATACGTTGACAGCCATGGCGAAAGACCACCACGGATCAGACTGCATGAACCTATTGCACCGAGTTATCAGCACTGTTTATTTAGAGAAGTTCAAACGAAGAAGAGGACGGACATTTCGAGCAAAAATGCCTGTGCTTGACACAGAGCGGATCCTGCTCCAGCTCGCATGCCGTCGTAGCCCATGGCGCAAGCAATGCTGGCACCAACATTGGCAATAGACGCAAAGACGATGAAGAGATTAGGAACGCTTCGAATGCGCTTGAACTTCCAGTAGGTGATAAATATCAAGGTGACTCCGACCAACGACAGGGACGCGCCGATTCTTTCCAGGGCGATAATAACGTCGATCTGAGACTGGCTGAGGGACTGCGCTTTCCCACCCATGTCGGCAATTGGTCCGTCCTGACCGTCCATAAAATTGGCTGATGATCAAGGTCTTCGCTTTGGCGTAATTTGGTAGTTTTGGTAAGTGAGCGAGCTGTTGAACGAGGCAGCGACTCGAAGACCGGCTGGGTCATAAGGTCAGTCATCTTTGTCTGCTGTGCAGGGAAGTGCATCCTGGGAGAAAAGCTCCAAGCATACCTGCCTCCGTATTCCAACAGCTGAGATGCAGTCTGCAATGCTGCGAGACCCGGCCCCCCTTGATGTATATGTGAAAGGACCGAAAGATGATGCGTAGGTCGTGGCTCGAACTGACGGCAGAGGTAGCACAAATGGCGGCCGTGGCACAAAGAGGAGCCGAAATTCCCAGTTGATAAGAACCGACAGAGACTAAAGCAGAGAAAAAGATTGGTCGACAGGAAGTACAAGTCTCGAGGATCCAAAGACCAGAGTGATATGCCGTGTTGCTGGACGGCAGCTCTGTGTGACGAGCTGCTGGCCTCTGCAGCACCAGCGAGGGCGAAGGTTGAGGTGGGTTGAAAAGGTTCGAGCGTATTCAGTAAGGAAACAATCGAGAGGTCGAAATAGAAGGGCAGGCGAGATCATGTATTAATCTCAGGCAGTCCTGACTGATAGTCACGTTCGGTCGAGACACTGAGGTGCATGACCGACTGCGGAAATCCTGGCTTGGGACGGGGAAGAGAGCCGACGCAAGGAGATGTTACATGAACGAGAACGGGCGAAGAAGAAGAAGGGACATGGGCGGACAGATCGATGGCGAGCGGCGATGGGTACGAGAGGATCTTCTCTGAGGCGGCAGGGGGGGGGGGGGCTTGGTTGAGAGAAAGTGCCAAAGACGTTTGAATGCGGGGATCGAGAGACGAGAAGGAAGGAAGCGGTGACTGTTTCCGATTCGAGGCAGACCTGACGGGATTCTTCTCTGATTGGAACTGGCGTCAATATCAAACGAGTTGTGGCTTGCAGGTTGTAAATGTCGACACGAGGGAGGAATATCCAGGATGTGGTGGTTGCGCGTGTGAGTTGAAGTGAATGAACGCGATGAAGGACCAGGGGTCAAGGGGAAGTAGGGAAGGACGGAAGGAGGGAGGAAGGGACAAGAGGAAAAACGTATACGTTCGGGGGTAGTTGCCAAGGGATGAAGTCAAAACAGAGCACTGTGGAGGGAAGGCACGGTGGAGGTGGATTTGAGGGATGAGAACTGGAAAGGTGTGATACTGGCACGCAGCCTTGTTCAAGGAAGTAAGTACAAGACGAATGAACCTGCCTTAGGTAGCTTATTCTGGGGAAGTAGGTACCGTCTTCCATTCGTGGAGATGGAGTTGGAGGCGGAGGAAAGACACGAACGAGGATGAGTACCTAAGGTGGATGGCTTACCTTGCCCCAACGGGCCTTGATGTTATACCGTCCGGACGAGTTACTCCAGAATATTGAAAGTTCGCAACCTTCTCCACGCCGGGTGCTGGAGTGCTAGTGTGAGATAGGATGTGAGATGAGATGTAGTAGTCTGAATATGGACGGACTGGGGATGAAGGCGACGGGTGGTATCTACATGGGAGCAAAAAAGGCGGAAAGGCATGACAGCGGGATAGTAAGACGGCACGACGGTTCGGTGAGCATCTCTCGGGCACAGTATCTACAGGGCGAGTGAGACGCAAAACCCCAACCCATCTGCTTCCTCTTGGCTGCCACACTGTATTAGGACCAGCCAGTGAGACCCTGCCAGACATGATATGCGGATATGCATCCCACAAACATGCCTCCACAGGCCAACGCAAGGCTCTTTTCTACACAGGGCTGGGCAGGGCTGGGCAGGGTGGCAGTCAAATGGAGGTGGTCCTGGCAAACAAAGAGAATTGTTGACGAGGGAGAGGGAAAGAAAGCTCGGCAAGTAGAATGAGATACCTTACCGATAGCATGAGATCGAGATGAAAATGAGTGATACTTGCCACTGATGTTTCCGGAAACGAGAAGAATAAGTGAGAAATAAAGTGCCAATACCCGGCAATCTCTTCTAAGCCCCAATTGGGATCACCTCAGTGTCCAGCATCGTCATGATGCGGCCGAGAATAGATAGGTATCTCACCTTGGAGAACGAAGCAAGGTGAAGAAGTTGAATGAGCCTTACGGATATTGTCAACCAGTAGGCACGTAAGACGGGTAGAATGTCTCGCACCCTCGATTGTCTGCCTGCCCTGGTGTCTCACTTCCACGCCGTGGCGGCAGTGTACCCGTTGAATTTGCGCCCCAAGGCGTTGATCGGATGACTGCCTGTCTGGATCTCACTTTGGATGAAATGTCGATTCGTTCAATCCTGGTCGAAATGAGAGATGAGACGACCGGGGGTGAATCGCGGCACTCGATCCTTCCACTTTTTTCACACTTCCAGGCTCACAGTGCCGGAGGAAGTCGCGTTTGGCTGGACCCCAGGTACCTCTTTCCTACCTTACCTCCACGCCTCCACATCCTGCCTCCTGCCTTCTGCCACCTCCCACTTCTTGCCTCCCTGAGATACCTCATGGCAACCTCAGGTATCTATGGAAGATCAAGGGAAACCGCAAAGAAATGAAAGAAGGAAGACATCGATTCTTCTGGTCGCCGCATACCTCAACTCACTTTACCTGCAAGGCCAATGCTTCGGCCTGTTGGCCTTCCGATTCTCTGACCGCCCTTCTCGACGCACTATGTTTCCCGGGCAGACGTGGGCGTGGCTTGAGGACTTGGCTACGTTAACGGCCGAGATATCGAACTTTCATTCGTCATCCTTCTTCATATCTTGCATTTTCCTACGTAGCCCGCCGTTTTGTCGGTCAGATCGGTCAGACCATGCGGCCCTGAGGCGTCATCGTTCAACACACGGTGCGGCCTTCTCCAAAGTCCACGGTTAAGTTGACGGATCCGAATCGTTGCTGTTGATCCCTCACCTCGTGGCCGGTTATCGAGATGAAAAATGCCATTGATTGGGGATGAACGGATCGAGACAAGAGGCTCACTGACGGGTCATGGTCCGATCTTCCCTCAAAAAGGCCAAGGGTTCTGTCATTGTTCTCTTCCCTCGAGACTAATCTGGATGTGAGAACTGACGAGATTGCCTAGCCAAGTCATCCAATTTGGCCTCTCCGTCCCTGGAGCCTGGACTCGTTGCACTCAATCTTGTAAGCGTTCGTTTGCCTGGTATGCACTGTCTATCCAGCTGTGCCGCAGCTGGGGCTCCCACCACGGATGGCTGAGTTGCCAGCAGCCTAGCAGACCGAAAATAGAGGCAAAACACCACACCTATGCCACAGGGACCAGCCTGCATCAACAAGTGCCAGCAACCTGGGACGCAGTAATGCGGAACACCCTCTCGTCCATATTGACTGATGTGATGGGACTACAAACACAACGTGGATGCGTGGAGGTGCAGATGAGGTTCAACGGCGCAGCTAGAGCAAACGACCAGCCCCTCACTACGATGACCAACCAGGCTCCAAGGCGCACGGCACTGTTGTTTGCCTGCCTGTCGCGGGCTGGACTTGACTTTGTCTCCACGAATCACCGATCACAATCCGCTCCTTCACCTACTCTTTGGTTTGCCGGGATAGCCTTTGGAAACCGAACGAGCTGCCCACTCGAGCTCGAGAGCCGCAACCAAACTTTCAGACCAGACTCGAGAAATCCGGCAAACGCTATCATGGGAAATTCGAGTTGCTCAAGACTCTGCTCAGCTGCGATGCGCTGGACCTGCTTCTCCTACCTGTCCTCTGCGTCCACTTCTCGGGCCAGGACAGAAGCGAAATGCGAACCCTCAATGGGTGTTGCAGAGTTCGGTAGCGATCCAATCGCCAACGTGCTCTGTCTCTTACAAATGCATCCAGCCTGACTGCATTGTAGTCTTTTGGCCAACGAGCGATGACCGACGGAACAGGACCAACGCACGTAAGATCATCGCAGCGCGACGGTCACCAGCCTAAGCGGTTGCGAGCGGGACGTATCCCAAAAGACATTGGTTCCCAGGTACCTGACACTAGAGACGCCAGGTGACCTCCGTGTGCAATGCAGAATGGCAATCCTGCACTGTCGCTTAGTACTCCCCAACCAACACGCAGTGCCCTTGTTGTCGACCCATACCGGTAGCGAACCTCGATTTTCTGCGCTCACCCAACACTTTCTCCAAACCCCTCCGACGGCCGAGATACACAAGCAAGGTCTCCCCAGGTTGACACCAAGAGTCGGGCCATTGCTCTCCCTCGACCGCTAGGTCTCGATGTGGCATCTGCAGTTTGCTGCGAAAAAAAAAAAAAAGGCATGCGTTTAAACCCTGCGCGTCACTGCCTCCCTTTTTGAGCAGTCGTCTTCGTCGTCCTCATCTCAGTTTGCCAGAATCACTCGAACCATTCTATGCTTTCGTGCGGCTTGTTTGCTTCCCTCGCTGCAGTTAACCGGCGAACCACTATTCGTCGTGGCAACGCCAGTCCGAGACTCATAACCCACCCTGATGAACCCTCCGGATGTTCTTTGCCGAACCCATTCTTAGATGCTTGAGCTTGGCAACGACTTAGAGCTCATATCGTCTCGCCTAGAGCTTGCTCGAAGAAAACAGTAGTAGAACATGGTGACCGTTGTCATCCGACTTGCGATGAATCACTGCGAACAACCAGTCTCAGAAACACGCTTCGATATAATCATCACAACTCGTGGTTCGCGATGTATACCCTGCCTTGCCCTGAATTCTGAAACATTAATGGTATCTTATTCGTAAGTCCCCCATCACTATGGGAGGATTTCTGTCCCACATTCCGACCGTGACTCTTCAGTCCGTGACAAAAACATACATGCATTCTCATGTGCCCGATTTCCTAGCTTCGTGAAATTCCCAGTCGTACTGTCCATTTTCCACATACCTGTCGTTGTAGCTGAGGGCTTCTCAAGGAAGGCTTTGAAAGAAGTCTGATGGTCTGTTTGGTAAGCGGCCCGTCTCAACAGTGCAACGCCCCGGTGATGTGAAGCGATGCTTTCAAGCACTTGCAGCTTCCACACCAAGGCCAAAGCCTGATTCAGTGGTTAACTCCAACATCTTTTCAGCCACCCATCTACCGTTATGAGGACCTGCGAAACATGAAGTCCGTACCATCACCATTGGCCAGAACATTGTCATAGTTCGGTAAGCAATGCCCTCGGTTGGCGCTTCTTTCTTCCCTTCTAGGCCGAATACTGTTCGGATGTCTTCAAGAACGTCTTCAACGACAGAGACACCATCCGACCAACTCGGCATAGGACCCAAGCTGGTGGTGACTTTGCCGCTGCTCTCCTTCAGAATGTTCCGTAACTCGATAATCCTCTCTAGGAGGTATACACGAAGCGAACGATAATGGCTTCGCGCGATGGCAACGGACGACTCAGACGACAGTGAGAAGAGACCGTTGAACACTTTTTGCTGCTGTCCGGAGCATGTCGAAGCGCCAGAAAAGCCTAGGAATGCGACGGCTGCCTCAAGATCGCTGCTCAGATCGATGCCGTTTCGGATCAGGTCTAGCAAACCCTCCGGTGGGCTTTCGGTTAACTTGGTCAAGCTGCCTTGGACTTGCACCCTGAAGTCAAAGGCTCTCTTGAAATCGACCACTTGTCGAACAAGCGGCTCGAGAACTGGGCCTTTGCCCCACGGAGTTTCCACCTCTTCAAGCATAGACCATAGAGGCGTCAAGTGGTCTCGTTGTATGAACATCTCCATCAACTTGTCACAGAGAGATCAGCTGGAGTGCTCCATCACAGAAAATATCGACACTACTCACCGCCGCATGACAGAAGAAAGTGAAGCAGGCTTTATCGACTTCGTTTGTCAGGCCATGGTCTGCCCGAAACTTAAACAACTGCAAGCCTCCAGCACCATGGGGGAATACGTTCTCTTGCAAGTCAATCGTGCTTGTGCCTCGCTTGCCATTGATAACCTGCTGGATTTAGCTAAGGAACTAACAGTACTTCGTACTTGAGGGGAAGCCAGAACCGGAATAGGCGTCAGCTTTGAAGGAACCAACTGAGGCTTACCTCGAACATGCCAAACAGAAACAACGTGACCAGATTGGCGTCGTCTCGCACTGCAACTGGGTCTTGAAGGGCTTGGTTCAGAGTCGAAATGGCTTTGCCGTAATGCCGCCGAGCTTCAACCATGAGCCCTGACTGACGTAGTGATCGAGAGGCACTCGCCAAGGCCACAGCGTGTGTGGCATGTCGTGCGTGGCTGGCGTCGGATAGATCGACGTCGTAGTACTCGGGAAGTCGGCTGAATATTAAAATACTCGCCTGCGCGGCATAGTTGGTGTAGAAGCGGTTCACCGACAACACTTCTGGACCGATTTGGATGGACTTTGAGAGAACTAGTTCGGGCTCCTCTTCCGAATCCAGCAGTGTCTGGGAGGATTCTCTTCGAGCAAGGATCAGTGGCCCAGGTGAGCTGTCCTGCGGTTCACTATGAGGTCGGGTTGGTGGAGGTTGCTGACGGTGTTTCCATCTAGATGTCCATGATGCTGGGTACCCGGAAGACCGTCGTTGTTGGGATGCAGAGAGGAATGCCCTACGTGGTTTGGAGCCGTCGCGCTTCGTTCACAAATCAGCATGGGCTGTTATTATCTCATAGCCGGGATCTCCGAAGCTTACCGTCATACGCTTCTCCTCGACCCTCGAGTGGCCCTGTTGCGGTTTGGCCAAGCTGGCCATGGCGACTAGGTCTCGTCAATCCACCGGTGGTGTGGGCTCGACATTCGAGCGACTCTTTCATCAGCAGTACTCCAACAGGACCAGATCTGACGCGCGTGAAGGGAAGTTGCGGACATCGAAGCTATGTGAAGAGGTCAACTCGATTAGTAGGCAAGGTTGGGGAAGCTCCCCACGATAAATGTGGAAATTTGGAGAAAGTTTGATCTGGCTGATCCCGGTTAAGATCGCTCGTAGTAGTAGCGGCATATCCCATGTATTCGAGGCCGACCAACCATTCATCCTTGGCAACGCGGGCGAACACGGCGCGTGCAGTAGCCCCCAGGCCAGGCGAACGACCTCGGTGAGTTGGGTCAGGACAAAGCCTATTGGTGTCCGTCCGGTGGTGGCGGACGTGACTGAGACGTCACTTTGACCTGCCCCGAACCGGTCAAACTCTAAAAGCGTACAAGTAGCGCGCCGCGCTTGTTACTAGGGCGCGCAATGTCTCACACGACGTCCTCGAAGAATCCTCCGGGGCAACTTCCGGTGGTTAGCTGTCTTTGTTCGTTGGCTCTTCTCTCTCGTTGGGAATCCAACTGTGGACTGTCTTGTCCCACAGCTGGTCGTTAGCAACCCGACTTTGAGGACAGGCTTTGCTGGCGCAGAGAATGAATGCTGCCCTCTCAATGCCAAACCTGCAATTCTAGCCGTATTGAGAAGGCAGACCGAGGTGTCAAAGGAAACCAAGATACGCCGAGTCTAAGGCCGAAAAACTCTGAGCTCAGACTTGTACATGAGGCTTAAGTTGCACAGACGACACCTTGATTCCGTGCATCAGGGTCTCTGCCTGCTAGGGAATCACTCCCACGCGTGGAAAGGGTCTTGTTCCGTTGGCGCGTGCTCCTATCGAGCTGCAGGATATTGGACCCTGACAGCGGCCAGGTGATCTGCGGCATGCGATGCCGCTGGATCCACAAGCCACGACGAGCCAAGACATCATTGCTACTATTTCCAACCAGAAGGCTGCTCAGCCATGGCAAAGTCTCTTCAGTTGGATGGATGGATGGCAAAGTCTCGGATGCCAAAACGCGGCAATTCATATGAAATTGAGGCTTGTCGAACCTTGCCAGGCACACGAGGGCTAGAATTTCCTGTTAGGCCGAATCATCACATTTATCAGTCAGGTACGGAGTTTACCAGAGTTGGCTACCTAATGGCACAATCTGTACAACCCAACTATCACCCATGGACTTCGTAAAGCAGCTGATAGTGCAAGCTGATGCCAGCATCGTGATTCGCTTCGCATCTTGTTCGGTGATTCAAGGATCAAGCAGTCTCACTTACTCGAGAGAAGATGCCTTTCGCCCCATGGACAACCTGTAGCAGCAAGGCGACTCAGGCTTTTGGCGTCGTCAGCAACCTTACGCCCCTTGCCGTTACTGGATCTCTGCTTTGAGCCATAGAGTCTGACGTCAAAGATCCCTCATGGCTATGGTGGTGGAGAAGCCGTTGTATTGGGATCTTTAGAGGGGGGAGAGGGCAGAAAAGGAGCTTGGGTCTGATGCTGAACCCCTCATCTTCTTCCACCCTTACCCATGAGTATGATCTCCCCGTGGATGAAGCAGCACAGACGAATTTCCCCAACTTTCCCCGACCTTCACGTTCACGGCACGCACATCACAAGAAGCGAAGAGCTCGGATCCTCGCAACGCAACCATGGAGGTGGGCGGTAGCGGACTCGTCCAGAGTTTGCGACGGGATCCTAGACAGGGCCGCCACAGGCCGACCTCATCGCCGACGGACTTAGTCGGCAAGTAATTCATGCGACATGACACACCCAATTGGACGGACGGCATTCTCACGGCCACTGCACCGCCGCCGGCGGGTTGCCGTTTTGCTGCCCAGTCGTCTGTTCACACACACACAGACACAGCGCTCCAGCCACCTCACTCACATTGGAAGCCCGCCTTGCCTTCCTCCATGATCCATCCCCGCCTTTGCCGCTGTTTGACGCCGCAACAGTGGGTGCGTGCCGGCGTTTGACGGCAATCTTGGCCGGAACTGCGGGGCCTCGGCGATGTCCACGATGAGCGGCTCTTACACGCCCAACTCTATCGCGCTTCCGATGTCAATCAACCCGCCATCATTTTCCAGCGCCGGCTACTGGCTCCATGCTCCATCGGCGACGGACTCAACTACGATTCCGTGAAACCCTAACACCGCTTCGGTCGGCAGGGCTGACAAGACAGGACCTTCATCCCAAGTTGTGGTTGCTCGAAATCCCAATTGCCGGATAACTCAATGGACAGGAGTTCGACTCGTTCACAGGCAAACTGGGTAGTCGTCTACATCCAAGGATGAAGAATAGAGACTCTTGAGGAACCGAATCCCTTTATTTTGTTTGTGGCTGGGTTCAAGGCGAGATCAAGGTTGTTTAAGGTTACGAGAAACAGGGCCGAGAATGGGGCCGGCAGTCCCCTTTCACAGCCCCGGCACGGTGCGTCCCACACCATCCCGTGAAGGAGCCTTTCCCTCCGCGTCGCCGGCAGTCCGCATACGATGAACGCTGCCGGCACTTGAACCTGAGCCCCTCCCAAACCACACAACACACTTGACTAGGAGCTGGAACACGACCTGACATTTCATGACGCCGCGCCTGCTTCTACCGCCGGCAGCACGCCGATCTTTTGAAACCACCTTTCCAGGTGCCCATTAAACTCCTCGCTCTCGAGCTGATGAAACCAGTGGCCCTTGCCCTCGATCACCACAATCTCATCCAGCGCCTCGTCACCTTTCGGCAGATGATCACGATCAGTGCCAACATACCAATCGTTCGAACCCAGCGTCAGGCGCGGGCACTTTAGTTTTCCCGCAAAGGCCTTGACTGCGTTCTCCTGCCTGCCCAGGCTCTCCGCGTCGCCCCAGCCGCCCCAGCAGAGCGCGTACATGACGGCCTTGTCGAACTGTGCCATGCGGCGGAGGTGCCACGTCTTTTGCCACGCTGGGCATTCGGGAGAGTAGCAGTACGTGCCGAAGAACTCGATGAGGGTCGGGATGATCTTGTCCTGGGCGTCGGGGCCATTGAAGAGGTAGGTGTCGCGTTCGCGAACGGCGTTGGGGAAGGCGTGGATGGGATCTACGCCGATGGACGCTTTCACGAGGTTTGGATGGGTGGTGGCGATGTAGTACCCTGCCGCTTCACCTAGGGAGTGCGAGACAACGATAAGGTTCTTGGTGATGCCGAGGTGAGATAGCAGCGCGAGCATGTCTTCGGCTGTGGATTGCGGGTAGTAGTCTATTACCTCCGGGTCGGCGGACCGAGCGACGCCGGGCCACGTACGGATTTCTGGGTCCGGCGCCGGGGCGGAGGATTTGCCCTGGCCGCGGCTGTCGATGGAAATTACGCGGAGGTTGTGGGAGAGGAGGAAAGGGACCTGCCAGGACCAGTCGTGCATTTCGCACGAGAGGCCTGTGATGAGGAGGACTGTGTGGGATGCCGTGCGGGGGCCTTCGTCTAGGTAGAAGAGGTTGAAGGAGGGGTTCCGGGAGAAGTAGGGCATTTTGGCGGTTGGAGATTTGGGTTAGGGGAGGTGGGTTGATGGGTTGTGTGAGTTAGATGGATGGATAGATGTCACGATGGGTTGCGTGAGTTTTGACTTAGGAGCTACGATATAGACGGATTCAATCCCATCTTTTATTGCGTTGTGAGTGATGATGTTGGCGGGGTTCCTTTGTCAGACGCTGATCTGAGGGCGTTCCCCGTTTATGTGTGAGCGTTAGGGCCAGTTGCAGCTGCCGTAGCCAAAATAGGATAAAACAGGTAGGTATGACATCTATCCTGCAAACCGAACCCGCGCATTTACGATACCCAATCGATTTAATTGCTAAATTGCTAGTTTTGATGGCTATCAACGGTGTGCTATCATGGAGGCTCATTGCGCTTGGTTCGGGAAGTGCGTCTTATGTGAGATTGTTCAGGCGGTCGGAGAACTAGCCACTTGGGTTCAGGATGGGGAGTCCCTTCAGGCAGTAGCCCCGCTATTCCAACGCTATTGAAAGGCAATTCATGTTTGGAATCCGAATGTTCAGCTGCTCGATTTAAGATGGTGTCTACCGATGTACTTGGATAGGAGAGTATGGAGGCACGCGCCGTGAAGTTCGGGTTCGGGCTCGGGACCCGGGGTAGAATTGCGGGGGGTCGGGATCGGGTTTTGGGGTTTGGGTGGGGACTTTTGTCCGACTTTCCGAACCCGAAAAGTGTTGGGTAAGGATTCAATCATGTCAGACTGCGTTACCTTAGACTACCCCTGAGTAGTTAGGTGAATGGACTTTTGTCTAATACCAGGACGAGGAAATATCTGCGAAGAATATGAAAGGTACCTTTATAGAGGAGTTTTCGTTGTAGTATTTAATACACTACGTAAGTGAGCCGTTCAAATATCAGCTCTTTGAATATCTTTCACAAGGCTATGAGCTGAATTACTTCAACAACTCTACTGTGCTGCGTACGTTCAAAAACACACCAGGACGTCTGGAGTAAGTATATAGAAGGGCAAAGGAGAAGTCTCTATGCTAGAATGAAAACGTAACTGCGTTGAGGTTAGGGGAACGGACACTGAATAATGTATTACTGAGGGCAGACATAAAAAAAAAAAGAAAGAAAGCAAATTCGTATCAAGCCTTCCCGTATATCCAGTCTAGGTTCCTATGGATCTGCTACTGAAAGCATCCCTGTCAAAAAGCTTTTTACCTTCTCCTGATTTCGTGCCAATTCGTCCAAGTGATTGTACCTGGCTTCTTCCTGTCGCCGAAGTTCTTTCATGAGCTGCATAGAATGTTTAGCTAGAGAAATTACCTTCGTCAAAAGACCACTACTGACCTTTAACCTTGTCTCCTCCCTCTCTCTGTCCCGTTCGAGTTTCTCATATAAAGTCATCATGGCTTGGAGAGCGTTTCGATATGTCTCGGCGTAAGTGAAGTTGCTGAGATCCCACTTTGATGCTCGATTCACTGCCAAAGTAGCCTGTTCTTGGGCAAGTTCGAAATCGCCTATTGCTGTATGAATTCTCGAATCATATGTAAAAACCTTGGCGATCGTCACTTGGTGAACCTCCGGGCTTGATTGCGTCTTGAGGATATAGCCAGCGCCAATGGCTAAAGGTAGAGCCTCGGCTGCTTTGGCATACTCACCCATTGTCTCGTACATGTCCAATAAGGCGAATACCCCATCCAAGTCGGTGGGTTGGAGGTCCACATACTTCTGCTTCAACTTGGCAGCTTCCTCCCATTGACCTGCCAGGAACATGACATCTGCACGCGCGGATGCGCAAACAATGTCCCGCTCATCTTCAAAGTCATAGTCATCGTCAGGAAAGAGTGTCTCGCTTGTGGTCTGCATGCGGGATATGAACTGATTTGCGACGTCCAACTTTCCTGTTCTTGCATGGGCTCGTGCCAACTCGGCCATAACCTCGATCGTTTCTTCTTCGTTGTCTGCTTCGCTCTTTTGATACCAATCCCAGAATTTCGAAAGGAAAGCTTCCGCGTCGGAGTGGAAGCCTTGTTTGGTACATGCCTTTGATAAGGTTCGATAGAGAAAGGCATATTCGTCGGGAGAGTCACCCACAGTTTGTTCGAAAGATTGGAGGAATTCTCGGTGGAGGCGCTCTGACTCTGGCCACATTCCTAGTTCGGGGTATATGATGAGGAGGCTTTGCTTGACTGCGAGCGAGAGCTCGTGGAACTCGCCGAGTTCTTCCTCGGTATGTGCCAGAAGCTTTTCAGCAAGCTGTAGTGCCTCTCGGAACGACTGAGTCGCCACCTTTGCACTGACAAGATTCTCCGTAAACCACAGAGTCTCCTCTGCATCTTCGCCGAGTGCCTCACGAGCCAGATCTACTGCTAAAGTATGGTTCTCGACGGACTCTTGGGCCTTATCGGTATTTTCGTAAACCCGTCCCAGTAAGTGGTGGACGCGACAGGCCATGTCAGGGCGGGTTGTCCCATAGACCTGCGGCGACGCAGCCAAGATCTCCAGCAAAAGAGTCTCAGCTTCTTCAAAGTCTTCGTTTCCAACGTGAATTGCTGCCAAGAGCCTCATTGTATAAAGTGAATCATCTGAGTGCACCCCATTGCGACCGTCAAGCCCTATTTCAATCGAGGCTCTATAGAACGTACTCGCTTCGTCGAATTCATCCTGGAGCTCTTTGGCGTATCCGAGATAGTGGTATGCTTGCTCCAAAGCCTTGCCGGACTCTGGGACCTCGCCGCTGATCTTGAGACACTGGTGTGCTGCCTCTTCGGCCTCTTCAAAGCGTTTGGCCCCAAGGTAGGCTTTGACCAAGTGCAGAGTTGCAGCCCTGGTCTCTGGGTGGATTTCGCCGAACTTGCGAGTCACGATGTCCAAATTCTGCTGTAGGAGCTGAGTAGCATCATGAGCCTTGTCTTGGTGTGAGAGAAGCATGATTGAGGCAAGCGCGTATTGAGCAATAACAGTTGTATCGTGCTCTTGACCGAGGTGAGCTCGATACTCCTCAAGAGCCTCACGCCCGTATTGCTCCGCCCGGTCGAGCTGCTTCTGTTTCCTAAGATTCACGCACAGCATGACCTTGACACGGGAAATGTCCATAGGGTCAGGTTGGAGACAGAGTTCATACCCCTCAAGAACCTGTTCGAGAACGACGCTTTCTTCAACCAACCGCTGCTCGTTCTTCAATGAGATGGCTAGGTTGATCATCTGAGTTGATGCTTCGTGGTCTGCCGCGCTCGGTGCCGATTTGAGAACTTCAACCAGCGTTTGGCGCGTCTCTGACTCTTGCTTCCACAAGCACCGAGATTGGTAGCTGTTGGCAAGCTTCTCTAAGGCAAGCCGGGTGCAGTACGCGTTCCTTTTCCCATGCGTCTTGATGCAAATCTTGATTATGGCGCGATAGATAGAGTCGGAATCCTCAAATCGCTGATAGAATTCGAAGTTGGCAGCAACGTTGATGACTGCGTCGAATGTGCGGAAAAACTCTCTTTTTTTGACATAAAGAAGCGAGGATGGCAAGGCTCTCGCTATTCCTGCCGCCTCGTTGAATCTCTGGGCTCTACAGTAGTCAGCCACAAGGTTACATTTCAGCTCCAGCAAGGAATGTCGATAGCCCTCGAACTTTTCGTCTTCGTCCAAGTCGTGGTTGTCGTAGGCCCTCAAGATTCCTTCTGCCATGGATATCGCCCGGTCGAAGTGCCCAAGAATGGAGTATGTACAGGCTAGAAAGGCTTCTGCTTTGAGCGTCACGGGATGTGTGATCCCGAACGTGTCGACTGCCCTTTGGTGAATGCTCTGAGCATCCTCGTGGGCTTCCTGAGTCTTGGCTTGACCTGCAAGGACACAAACCCTATCTAGCAAAGATTCGAAGAGCTCCGGGCTATCCGAAGGCAGCTGGGCTTCTCTGCCTTTCAGTATTTCTTGATTGAGGAGTGAAGCTTCGTCAAACCTGTAAAGCAATGCGAGCAAGTCGCAGAGGGTAGTCGCGGTCTTCAAAGTTGTGAGATGAGTGGCTCCCAGTCTTTGTTTTTGCGTCTCAAGAGAATTTCTTAATTCCGTTTCCCTTTCCAAAGGTGTTTCGAATCCATCACCTAATGATAGACGGATTTCGTTCCGTTCGGTCTCAAGGTTTGAGAGAGCCTTCTCAAAAGTGACTCTCGCATCCTCAATGCTAAGGTCTGCGTCGTCTTCGACTGAGAGATCCTCCAGCATCTTCTCGATGAAATCTGGTTTGTCTGATTCCCGTGCTATTTCTTCAAGTAGCTTAGTTTGAATGTACTCCTTGAGTAGCCGCAGGTTCTCTAGGTACTCCGGGTCGTCTCCATTCTCACTCAAACTATCCAAGTCTTCTAGGTATGCTGTAGGCAGGAGCTTTTCTTTATCTCCAACAAAGATGCGATAGCCATGACGTTCGACTAGCTCTATAACTCTTGGTCGGTTGTTCAACTCAGTAGCAATGTGAAGACTACTCCTCCCGTGACCTGGATTTCCTTTACCCAGCAGGGTAATGATAATATTCTCCATGTCTAGGCGCCACTTGTAGAGACTCTCTTCATTGATGGTTTTCTTCTCCCACAAAGGACTGGTTTGAGGACGTCGGCCAACATTTACCGCGAGTCGCAAAATCAAATCTAGCGCGTCTCCTGTCTCGACGAGAGCTCCGGCTTGGAGGAGGGCGTGAACCGCAGCAGGATTTCCGGAATAGACTGCTATATTGAGAGGCGTGATGTTGGGTTTTTCATTATCGAAATTTGTCGTGGTGTTTATCAAATTTCTGATCTGTGGGTTTTTGAGGAGATGAAATAGAACATGGTGACCATTGACCTGGGAAGCCAATGAAGCTGCCCGATGTAGCAGGGAGAAGCTGCCGTATACTAGAGTCGCGCCTCGGGCGATTAAGAGATCAATGGTCTCAGCGTCGCACTTCTCCAAACTGATTGCCGCTTCCAGGGGCGTTCGTCCTTCCCACTTGGAATTGATGTCGGCTCCGTGATCAAGGAGAAGTTCGACAGTAGATGCATTTCCGGATGGTGTCGCAAGGAAAAGTAAGGAAAAGGACGCATCACCAGCTACGAAAGGATCATTGGCGTCGATTCTTTTCCCATCACTTTCGAAATCAAGAAAAACGGATGCCACAGCCGTGTTGCCCTGCTCCAAAGCGACCGCCAAATTGTCAATCGTTGGCGAGAGCACCCCCTTTTCTAGCAAAAGCTTCACTATGGCCGGTCCGGTGCGGTCTTCCCTTTTGCAGATGCGTAAGACGGCATTCATCAACGCTTCTTTACCACGAAGTGTACAACGTGCCCCGCGATCGATCAGAGCCAGCAGCAGATCCGTAGTGAATCTGCACGGTGCAGCGCTCAAGGCTTTCATGAGTATGGATGACCCACGTTGATCCTCTTCAGCACAAGAAGCTCCATTCTGAATCAGTAGGTCAATCGTAGATTCGAGTGCAACTCGCGACATCTGGCCATGGACCAACAGTGGTAGTAGAGCGTCATGGGGGTAGAGGAGACAGAAGAGACTAGATGACTGAGCCGATGAGGTTGTCCATTGTGTCGCACGGTAGTTCTCTTCTGGGCCAAGTAATCTCGGAATCAAGCCGTGAAGATGCAGTGAGCAGGCCAAAGAAAATGTGTTCTGAGTCCATCCAATTGCGTGTAGCTGGTAGTTGGAGGAACTTTTCGATGTGCGCTTGATGAACAGGTCAACAAGTGGACCATTGTTCGCGGCAATGGCGAATTCGAGCGCGGTACCCAGAAACGAGCAGTTTCCCACTTCAATTCCAGGGCTAAGCACGCTGACTCTGAGATTTTCTTTGAGATTGTTGTTGCTCAAAAGCAAGTTCAGGGCAGACTCGACCTGTCCAGGCTCAAACATGCTCAGCCAGTGGAAGGGTGTTTCGGGATGGCCCTCGGTGAGGCGCGTTGGCACATTCTTCGAAAGGAGGAGCTCGAGAACGTTGAGATGACCTCCCTGACAGGCAATCGTAAGTAGACTGTCCGTCCTAATCATCCTAGATTTGATTGATCCAGAGGCCTCTGAAGGTAACAGAAAGTCGACCAGAGGCTTGATACCCTGGCGCACAGCAACACTGAGGAGGCTCTCTCGTGTTGGTACGCTGTCATGCTCCTCTATCTGGGAGATACACTCCAAATCTTCGAGTCTGATGTCGCTCAAACTCAAACGTTTCAGACTCTCTTCAACACGATCCAAGGATATGCCTTCGATTATAGGGTTGCCCTCGTGTAGGATGTCGAAAGAACGATTCAAGGTATCCCGCTGCTTGCATCTCTCGTGTAAACGAAGACGCCTGACAAAGTTGTCATCGCCTTTGATGCCTAATAACTCCTTTTCGACTCTAACGAGCTGATGGGGTATTTGCCACAAGTGAGGTGGGGGATCGACTCCGAGGACGTCGTAAAGGCGAAAGATAAGCCCAAGAGCTTTTGCACTCTCAAGCTGCGCAGACTCCGTAAGCAGATCAAGTGCCTTTCTCAAGTCCGGTCTCTCCATACCAACCCCGTGAACATAGCACATAGCTAGTTCGAAGAGAGCAGTCCGCTTTTCGGTCAGCGATGAAGCATCCCTTGAGATGCGGAAGATTTGGTCCACAAAGTCGATTTGAATGATACGTGGCATTCGGGGAATAGCCTTGTCGGTCAGTATACTTCAAAAAGACTCATGAACTATCTGAGATTCATGACTTACCGATCTGGTCGTCAAAGCCTTTCCTGAACTCGAACCAGGGGCCTGATCTGGTGGTGAACTGAGTGTGGACGAGCTCGTGCCTTCCCTCCTAAAGCTGTTGTCAGTAATAATGCACTTCAGCTAATCAATATCTGGTGCCTACATCCAATCATCCCTAGTCAAGTCTTTGTGCTGTCTAAACCCGGCCAGAATGACCTCGATACCGCGTCTTCTCTCGGGATCATCCCTCAGCGAAGCCTGCAAAGTGCGGATGACCAATCGAATCAGAGGAGCCTCATTCTTCTCGGGCAACCCTTGCAAGTATTTCAGACTCTGGAGAAGAAGTTCGTCTTTTGGGAGGTCGCATAGATATGCCATCACGTCGGTGCTTTCATCTGCATCCTCAGCGCCTTGCAGTGTAGTGAAGTAATGTTTTCCATCTAGCAGAAGCTCCCATATCAACAAGCCGAACGAGAAGATGTCGCACTTGAAGAAGTCCTGTGCGTGATGGAGAGCATGACGTCTAGTTCTCACCTCAGGAGCATTCATAAGCGGTGTCCCAAGATAAACTCCCTGCGGTTCTTCAGAATCGTAGAGATCGAGAATCGAATGCCCAAAGTCAGAAAGCTTTGCTATCAAGTGCCCTTTGTTCCCGTCAAAGACAAGGGTGTTCTCCAACTTGATATCTCCATGGGCAATGCCGCAACTGTGCAGCTTAGCCAGCCCGCTGGCAATGTCATGCATGAATCGAGCCTTAGCTACTAGATCGAAGGTTTCATCGTCTGAGTGGCTTTTGCAAAAGTCCCTGAGAGTTCCGTGTGAGCCATATTCCATGACCAAGGAGACGTTGGTGCTGTTCTGAGCGGATGTCGACGTATGCTCAGATCTAAATCCCAATAAAGAGACAATATTTAAATGCTCCTCGATGGATGGAATCGAGAGAATGCGGAGCTCCTTCAAAACCGTCGCGACAGAGCGATGTCTCGTAGCGGCACTCCAATCACTTCGGGACTCGAAGTTGCCGAACAAGTTGATCTTTTTAACCGCAACAATGATAGGATTTCCGTCATCTCTTCTGATGCTTAGAGTGACTTTATCAACAGAATAAGAGGCGCCGTCGCCGAGATGAACCGGGGCCGCATCCCAACTGTGATCAAAGTCGGCATCTTTGAAGTGTGTGAGTTTGACGTGGTCGTCCGGCGATTCTGAGTTTTTGATTGTGTCATCTTCACTTAGACTGACCAGGTAGTTCCACACATCGATCGGCTCGAGCTCGGGTGTTGTTCTGGTTGTCGTCGCTGATTCGGGATCGGATTGGTTGACTGACGAAAGTGCCTCAGAGGCAAGAACAGTTCGGACGTCCCATATCAAGCTCATCTCGGTTCGACTCTGTTATTCGTCATAAGAGGTGGACTTATTTGTTTGGTTGTCACCAGGCCTAGAAATGGGGGGACAGGCTGTGACTTTTACAAAGAGTTTATCTTTTCAGGTGCACCATTCCCGCGCATTCCGATGGTCTGACTTGATACATTTCGTATTCAGCCGCACCCCAATCTAGAAGGACTTGCACCACCTGACGCGTTGCAGCCTAACATGCAGGAAACTCTTGACAGAGTAGGAATAGCGTCGCAACTGAGCCACTGAAATGTCGCGAAATCGGCCAGGGTCTCTGAATTAGCTACCTCCTCGATGGCTTATTTTACGCTTCAATGATTTCCTCTCGACATTCTAATCAATTCATCTAGCTCGTGTCAAAGTCGGTTCCCCCGCGTCATGGAGGCCGCTGGACTAGTCCTCGGTGCTGTCGCACTGATCAAACCCATATGTTCCACGATAGACAACACCCTGACCAACTATAGCAACTTCGGGAAGGATGCCGACCGCCTCCGGCTGCGATTTTCGATTCAGCGAACCCGACTAGGCTCTATGGAACGAGTTCTGTTTGAAGACAGCAAGTTTGCGCCGGCCATGCCCGGTTGCTTGATCGAGCACCTGCCAAAGACGGTTTGCGATGATATCCTGGGGCTGCTAAGAGAGCTCTATGGACTCTTGATGGAATACGCTGCGGTGAGAGGACAGTACAAAGTGCAGGACCGATCTGAGAGCCTCGAACTTGGTGACTTGGCATCCATGTCGGAAGACGACCGCGTCAAGAGTCTTTCATCGTCAAAAAAGGAGTCCGCCATTGCTCAGCAAAAGTCAGTGGGGTGGGCGAAGAAAATGCTCTGGGTAGCCTTTGACAAAAGCAGTACCGAGAAGCTTGTATCTGAGTTCGAGGCCTGGACCGAAAGAATACAGACCTTACTTGAGGCAGCGTGGTGGCCATCGACTTTCTTTGAGACATTGGAGAGGCTTCAGAAACTCGAAAAAGATGTCGATGCAGGATCTATAGGGCTTCTGCGGGGCATTGAGCTGAGGAAGCTGGTCATCACGGCACCCGCAGATATCTCCCCTGGATCATACGCGAAAGAAGCACTTTTGAGCGACTTGTCCATCACGTCCAAACTCCCCAACTTTGAGCTCGGCAATCTCGAAGGCTCGGATGAGTGCTATCTAATCGAGTCAAAGGGTTACATACCAGACTCGGGCAGTGCTGTGAGTGCGGTCGTCGTCCGGGAGCGCGTAATTCAGTTGGCCGCCCTGCTGCATGATGCTCCATCGAGCGACCCAGCTTTGGCAGTCCTCCCATGTACGCACTACTTTGAAGATACACCAGGTCGGAGGTTCGGTCTCTTGTTCAAGCTCCCAACGCCTATTAATCCATCGGCACCGCCACTTACTCTTTCAAACCTCCTCGACGAACGATCTAAAGTAGGGCGACCATCCCTCTCCGCCAGATTGCGCCTAGCACACAGGTTGGCAACCTGCGTACAGCGACTTCACGCGTACTCTTGGGTCCACAAGTCTATCCGCTCGGAGAATATAATTCTGTTTCCCGAACACGCTGGGATGTCCACAGCGCTCGTGGGCGCAAGACTGGTTGGGTTCGAATACTCACGGCAAGACTCCGACTTTTCCGACCAATTTGGCGAATCAGAACTGAAACGAAATATCTACCGACATCCAGAGAGATGGGGTCAGCCTACGAAACGGTTCGGAAAGATTCATGATATCTATGGTACGTGAAATCTGCCGGTGTGCTGATGAATGCTAAAAGACTATGTGCTTAGCTCTTGGTGTCGTCTTACTCGAGATTGGGCTTTGGTCTCGTGCCGATCAGATTGATAGGGGAGCCCTGGTAGCGCCAGAAATGGAGGACAAGCCCAAAACAACGGCCCAGACGAGGCTCCTGAAACATGCTGACCAAAGATTGGCTTTCTTTGCTGGCGAGACATTCCGAGATATTGCCGTTGCCTGTTTGGCTGGGAACGTGGGCGATGCCAGCGTGGTAGACTCTTTCTCCACGATCGTAGAGAATCTGGAGAAGCTCGCCAAGAGTGTTTCTTAAGTTCATGTGGTTCTGTAAATGTTGTCGAGTCAATAATATAGATGATAATCCCTTTACTGTGCATGTTGGTTTCTTTCGTGTTTGTCTTCCTTAGGGATTTCGAGCTACATCGTGTATAGTGAGGGCAAACATGGGCGACTTGTTTTGTTGCTTACTAAACAAGATGGCATGCGGACATTTCATTACGCCACGGCTAAACTATTCAGGGCTCACATGGTTGTCTAGATAGCATCCACCATCGCTCATATCTTTATCTCTCAGAAGCCCATGATAGTAGTGCCACTCACATATGTCTCCTTTGTTAATGCTTCTGAAAACTGCTGTTGCTAATGGGTTATTCAGACCATCTTGGGGATTTTATCCAAGCGTTCAGCATCCCATCGCCGGTAGCTAGAGTCAGTCTTGCTATCGATGGCAAGAGGGTGCGTAGGGGTATAGGCGCATAATTTGGTTTAGTTTAGTGAAAATCAACGTCAGTTGCGGATACTTCTGCTACGGACAGACTTGCTTTGTCTCCAACTGGAGTGCATGGGAGTGGTGATAGGAGTTAGAGTATGATAAATGTTTGCCTTTTTCACATGACTAATTCAACGATCGTTGTTGTCTTGGTCCTTGGCTGCACTCGTCGTATGGGGATGTGGTTCCAGCTCCTCTGTCGCCTTGCGTTCAATGTCAACTAGTCCATCAAGATCGTCCAGACTGTTTTCAAGAGCAGGCAGCGGAGGTTTGATATCATGGTGTTCGTAGTCGGATGTTGAGACGAGAGCATCGTCTAGAGCATCGTCTACGGTGCTAGGTTCGAGTAAGCCTTTAGTGAACTCTTTGCGGATCGAAGTCTTGTCGGAACTCACACAGGGTAGTATTTTTTCTGGATTCTTCTCATCTCTCTATGAGCTGCAAACCCTGTTTCGCGATACTGGGGCGAGCTAACTTTCCAGTTCATCGACACGTTGATGACGAGTAGTCTGGTTTCTACAAGTTTCAAGAGTTCTCTCCACGCTGATGGCGTCTGAAATGTTGTCGAAAGACTCTTGATATAACGTAGGGTGTCGGTCTGAACACGATATTTCTTCTCGTTGCCTTCGGATCGCTCTCGCTCCCAAAAGTATGCGGTTTCGTCCTGGAACTTCTTCACAGCGTCAAAGCCGTAGGCAAGCCAAATGAGAAACTCCAATACAATACAGCCTATGGACCAAATATCATACGCTCTTGAACGAGTTTCGTGGGCGGGAAACATCTTGTCTCGGTCTTTGTCCATCTCTGGTGGCTCATACCGAGATGTTCCGGGCGGTGTCATGGTGAGAGCCTCCTGGGTTATTCGTATTCTAGTCGCAAATTCTAGTGTGTGGAAAGAAGTGAGTCCCAAGTCGGCGATTTGCAAGCACCTGTTGTTTTCCATGTCGATGAACAGTAGGATATTCTCAGGTCTTAGGTCACCATGTCTGCAATTGCTTCCATGCAGTTCTTCGAGTGCATCAAAAAGGCCAGCAAGTTGGCCGAAAATCCATGCGAGCTCGCCCTCGTCCAAAGAACTCCCAGGGTTCTTTCTCCCAGGGTTCTCTCTCCAATATTGGGTTAGATTTCCTCCAGCTGCCCAGGGAAAGAGGAGGCAGCGATCTCCATGGTGCTCGTATGCCGCAATGGGCTTCATCAGATGGTCCGACTTGTAGTAATCTAGCATCTGGAGGTTACTCGCTTCTTTGTCGAAATATTCAAGAATCTCAGGATCTTCGTTCGCCTTCTTCAGTGCAACTGATACAGAGCCGTCTGCGTTCTGCGGGGCGCGGTCAATACGTTGTGTCAGAATGCAATGACTGTAGTTGAAATCTCACCGTCGCCATCTTCATGCCTTTTATATGTGCTGAATGAACGTGAACCTTGAAAATCTCCCCAAAGAACCCCTTGCATTCTGCTATCCGATCGACTTTGATGTATGGGAGTACTGTACGGGCAGGGAATACAAATCGAAAAGGACAGCTTGTTCCAAATGTTGGGGCCATGAATTTCCACTGATATTTGCTGAAAAGTTCTGTTTCGTTACGATCCCAATTCTCGACTTGGAGAGGCCTCTGGGAACCAGAAGTGCCCGGGTTCGAGGTAGGGTGCCAAAACCACATCTTACTGCGACTGGCCGCATATTTCTTCCTTCGAAATGTAATAGGAAGTGAATCGTTGGTGAACCGGCAGTCTTCCAGGGTTTTCATCAGAGAAACCCTCTCGACATCCTTGGTTGACATAAGTACCAGAGTCAGGTACAGACGGGTGGCATCTTTCATTACAAAGCGGACGAGGCCTTCGTCACTGCTAAGGCTTGCCGCTCCGAGAACCTCGACTACTCGACTTTCGTTGATGAACAGAGGCAATGCATCATTTGGTAAGAACTCCTCGTCATGATGATCATTGTAAATAAAATTGTCAATGATCTCTTGGCCGACTGAGTTGATTGTTTCACAACCTGGGGAATCGTTGTGACCAAATGCGAGAGAATACTCCCAGAGATTGCTTTCGAGGGCGCTTGCGCTATTGGCGAGTTCTTGGAGCTGCATCTCGACTTCTCCAGTATTGTCACGTATCATGTCTCCCTGAACGACACCCTCGGTAGCTTTGATCTGGAGTAGAAGGCCAGTCCAGCCGTCGAATTGGGAGGGATCTCTTCCGACAATGGTGCCTTGGCTCCGCTTGTGAAGACAAATGCTCTTCACTTGATACATAAGAACTTTTCTGTAGAGCTCTTCAACTTGCCTCTCCACTTGGGCTCTTAGTGTCGAGGAAGAGCTATCAGCTCCATTGCCGTCGAGAAGTAGCAACACTAAGTTCCAGTACCACTTCATTCTCGACAGGACGTAGGCTAAGCCTTCACGACTACTGGCCGACTCCGTGGTGGGGTTCGAAAGAATCTATCAATCATCAGCTGAGGATCGTCCAACTGTTTCCCTAATCGTTGAAGTTGGTCACACCTCTATTCCAAGACATACGCCGGCCCAGGCAATGGCGGCTTCTGGGACAGAACTGACCGCCTCCTCTATCATATCCCTTACCGCTTGCACCCCTTCTTGTCCTCTGGCGACGCCTTGTAGGACTGGCTCTTTCTTCGACATCCGGCCCAGTCCTGCCTGAACCAATCGCTTCATTTGACGCGATCGTTTATCCTCGATGCTCTCTATCTCGTTTTTGGTGTGCTCAGGGGCAACATAGCTTGAAGTATCTCGATGGATTTCAGCTGACAGGATCTTCTCATAGGCTTCAATCAGTGCCGGCTCTTCATCTTGAAGCCCACAGTAGGCCTTGTTCCAAAGCTGCCTGAGGAGCTGGCATTCATAGTAGTGCTGTAGAAGCGGATCAGAAGATTTGACCTTTTCACCGAGGTTATCAGGAACCCGTTCCCCTGTCTTGTGAGGTGTAGGTGCTGGAAATCCATCCCAATCCATTGGCTCATCGAGTTCGTTCCACCTCTCCTGCGGCCATGGTGTGTCTTGATGCTTGCCGGCGGCAATAGAAGTATCTTCGTCTGCAGTGTACGATTCATCCTCTTCATTGGTTTCAGGGCCGTCGCCCAGAGTGCTTCTTTTCCCGGAGCCTTGGTTGCTGCTTGGGGCCTCGAAGCCGGCGACGACATTTCTATGCTTGTCCGACAGCATTTCCACTGACAATCGCGGAGTAAGTAAGGCCAGGAATTGCAAATGATCGGCTATATGATTCATCATAGCATTGACCTTGACGCGGTTGGTTGGTTTCGCCGCCACCGCTGAAGTTGTGACTTCGACTTTAGTCGTATCCTGAACCGCAAGCTGTGGGACATCAAATCGCACGGTTTTATAACTTCTTATGGCACTTGCAGAAGTAGCTTTCGAATTCGCTGGTACTTCTTGGCGTATTTCAGCTCGCTTGTCTCTTTGCTGATCAAGTGGCAAGCAGCACAGGGGACAGATATTCGCTAGCAGGCCGAAGTTGGATGCCTCTTGATGTTCAGACTCCCGAGTTGGGCCACTTAGGGTTCGCCACCAGAATGAGCCATGTTCCCCTGTAGTGTGTTCTACCCAGTCAGAAAGACTGGCAAAGGTCGGGGAGTCCGCACATGAGTTGGCAATGCACGTAAATGGTGACAAATCATCGTTGACGTGGCATCTGGTACGCCACAGCGTTAGTAGCGACCATGAAGACTATTAATACAGGTTGCAACTTGCCTCCACCAAACATCGTCTTCAAACTCGGTTTTAAGAAAGATCTTTCGGCAGAGGGGGCAAGGCATTCGGTCTTGCCCATCTTCAAAACCAGGAGGGCTAGGGAAGTTCGCTTTACTTCCGAGAACAGTCGATGCTCCAGCTCGCCTTCGAGCCGGCGGCGTGGCCTCCGGACCAGCTGGCATATTGAGTCGAGGTCCAGGATCTGAAGCCTGAGTTTCAGATGGACAGGAAATGCCAGCAGATGCTCTACTTGGTACGGGCTTTGGCACTGGGTCCGGGCATGAGTCTTTGGCCGTTTGTTGAGACAATCTCTCTGCTGGTTTCATCCGCGCGAAGTCATCTGGTGGCTGTTCGTTGCGGCGACAGTCAGTACGCAGTTTCCTATCGTGTGATTTCCAGTATAACAGTCTGGCATATATCTGTGTCATCGACTTGCTCAAGTGCATGCGGATTCTCTCAGAGGCTTCTGGGTAAAGGCCTTTAACTGCAAGCGTCGCCTTGAGCTCAAAGGAAGAAACCTTTGCGGGTTTTCTTGATGCAAAGGCCTTAACGCGAGCGTCTAAGGATGAGATTGAAGATTGTCGAAAATGCATAGCGAGTCGATCAAGTTCGTTTATCGACTTCTGAACACCATTAAGTTCGACTATTCGCCTCTCCACCTCGTCGTCTGAGGAACCGGCTGCGCTTGGGTTGCTGGCCTCCATAGTAGCTAACATCTGGTAAGCATGCAGTGCTCAATAGAAGAGGTCTCAGGCTTACTCTGAAGAAGATTCATGTTCAGCATGTCCAATACCAAGAGAACAAGGTCGCGGTATTGTGGGTAACGTCTCAAGCGCTGATCAAGGTTGCCCAATCCCTCAGCGAAAACGCCAAGATAAGCAGCCCAGTCGAGGAACCTCTTCTCAAGCCTCCGCAAGCTATATAGATGCGGGCTCTCTGTCTTTGATTCTGCAAGCTGGAGACTTTTTGTGAAGTTGGATTCACATACAGTAGCCATAATTGAGATAGACAACCCTAATCCCTCGCTCGGGCTAAGACCCCCGCCGGCTTGATCTCCAAGAGCACTCATCGCCGACTGCTGATGAGTCCAATTTTCTTGAGGACCCTAGCTGAAACAGAATATCATGGGACTGCGGCCACGACCTTCTAATTGTTTGTCCTAGTGTGCTGATGGTGCTTATGGGGTTGAGTGGGGTGATGATGATGTATGTTTTGTATTATTTCTCCCGTCAGCCTCGCTTAAGGTGCATGTATGATGACGTTTCGGCCAATGACAAAATAAACTAGCTGATCAGAGTCGTGTAGCTCACAAACTCTGAGTCCTTGTAACTCCAAGATAAACACTATTCAGCCACCGTAAAATGAGCATTTACGGCTTTGGTACAATGTCTTGGTATGCCGATTCTAAGAGCTTTCGGTCTCCCGTTGTTCGAACATAGTTGACCAACAAAGATTGACGAGAACTTGAAGGGTAATACTCGGACTTTCCCCCTCCGCTTGATCAGGACCCCGCATTGTCAGGAGACTTGTTTATCGATCTGTCCAATTCACGTACATCTCACGTGGATGTGTTCAGTCCTAATCGGCAGGGGCGCACTCCCTTCCGCCCTGAGGGTACCGTCATTCCTATACACTCAGTAGCTCGCACCGAGGAGTTACAAGTCTATGGATTCTCGATCTCGCGCTTCGAATCAACACTAGTTTAATAGTCCTCGAATATTGGCTCAATCGAGCTCGTCCCGCCCTATAGCAACTGGACCTAGGCAATTCCAACAGACCGAAGCGATCCAAACGACACGTCACATAGACTATTCCTTGCCTACTGGGCTTCTGAAGATCCTAGAGCACTTCACTTCCCGTCTGAAACAAGAACTTACAAGGCTGAGATATACGGATTCCTCCCCTAGCGGCTACTATGTCACAGGGAAGCAAGGGAGGCATTGATGGGACCCTGGAGTGGCGATTAATAACTGGGCTGCGCGATAACAGTCATCTCTTGAGCCGGCCCAAGGATGTCCTGTCTAGGGCCTCGACTCAGCAGTACCGTGATCGGAAAACAACACAGCTTCTCAACGATATGCGCATGCTAGATATGCAAATTCGCAAGACGCTCACGATTTTACGGCTTGATCTGTTGTTGTTCCTCGAATCGGAAATAGACGACGATACATCTGGAACAAGCTCAAGAACTGGGTCGGATCAGGAACCTGATCCAGCTGGCTATAGCTCTGATGATGACGACTTATCTTCCCAATCGAGTGGGGGTGTTCGTCTAACACCCCAACAAGGCGGACTGTCCCGCCCACCTGATCGCATCACCTCTTCATCACAAGCTTTTTCTTATCTCCAGGAGCTGTGTTCCCTTCTTGAGGCACGCGTCAACCCCCTTCTCATACCCGTTGAGCCTGTAGACAGCGGCCAAAGTCAAAACTACCCGAGGCTCACGCATCTCGTCCAACACCTCGGTTCCTCACCTTTTATGTTTGATCTCGAGTGTATCCCAACGGACAGGTCAATATCCACAAAATTCCTTTTTAACATTGCGAAAGACACAACCGCCGCAACTGCCTTCATCACGTTCTGCGGTCCGGAACAGAAGCCGCTATGGCAGCAACATGAAGGGGTTCCAGAGAAAATGTTTGACGAAACCGAGGACTTGAAGGATCGTTTTGAGGCGTTCAACAATCTTGTTGACAAGCTGCAGACGTCCCCACCCTCTCTGGAATACCTTGCTACGTGGCCGAGTGAAAGCTTGGCCTCTAGCCAACCGTGTGCTTCGTTCACGCTGCTCCGGAAATTTTGTCTGCAAACGGCAGTTGCTCATCGTGCAGTGACATCCCATTTCCGTTCATGTGACCACCAAAAGTTCGTGGACCACGATATTTTACTCCAGCTACCGGCATGGAAGGATGTTTCCGACTGGGACTCTTCAGACGTTCCAGAAGACTTGGCTATTCAGCTGTTCTTCACGACGTGTTCGCAAAGAAAATGGCAGGCGGGAAAGATGTATCTCCTCTTGTATGTAACCATCTCTTCTCTCTATGGAACTCAATTCGGAAGACTAAACTTTAAGCAACAGGCCAGAACAAATCCAACTTTGCAAGCAACAAGAGCTCTGCACTGCGCTGTGCGATTCTGATGCGCTAGGCAGAGATCTAGAGTTCTATGTCCTGGATAATTATCAATATGCTTGCGACGAAAAGATACCAATTCATGTTCCAGAGAACCCCAAGACCACAACACAAAAGTTCGGCAAAAGTTACCCCAATAAAGAGCAGAGCCTCTGGACTATGATCAAGGAAGGCTACTTTGCAAAAGAACCCAGCATCGATTTATTGTTAAGAGATATCCACTGTACCGAAAAGATTCTTGCAATCGATCAGCGTAAGGCGTTAGCAACCAGGCTTATTCTCGGCTTGATGGTCTATTTGGATGTCAACAGCGTCTTTGAGTCCTGGGATCCGGATCGCATACATTTCCTAGAGCCTGTGGATACGGAACGCACACCCTTCGTGTCAATTACCCAAAGAAAGGACAGCACTGACAATGAAGGCCAGTCTCTGCTAGCTTCATATTCTTTCAACGGCGTCGAAGACAGTCCAAGACCTCTTCCGCAGTTCCTGTTGCTAGCCAAGGCTTTGCTGCAAATCGCAAGTGGTGAACGTCTTGAAGGCATACATATAACCCAGTCGTTATCAAGGCCGGCCCTTTTGCATATGTGGAAAGCTTTCCAGGAGGTATTGCATTTATACACCCTTGTTGTGACTTGTGGAGCAGAAGTGGACCGAGAGAAGTTGCCCTTCTTGATGGCTGCCAAGGGTTGCCTGGATTTTCACATCGAGTATCAGGCCTGCTTGAGCAAAACGCAATCAAGTCAAAAGATTGACCTTGCGCGGAAGGTAGTTTTTGACACTATCCTCGTCAAAATCGATGACAGCCTGGCTTTGAGAGGTGTTATTGGATCGGGCTCTGCTACCCATACTGAGCAAGATCTCTCCATGGCTACACGCCATCCAGTTTTACAAGAGACACCAGTGCTCGCTGTAAACGCCTCTATCCATCAAATGCCTTCAGACAGGCATCTAGATGAACCTAAAGTGACGCTATTCGATACGAAACAGGGATCGGAGCATTCAACGTAAGTCTATTCAGGCTATTCTTATCTTAGTTGAATCCCTGGTCAAAAGTCGCTAACAACATCCGATGCATTAGCGCCGATGAGTTCCTGGCACTTCTCGATGAATTCCACATTTCCTGCTCAAACTACATCACTAATCGCGTTGAGGATTCAAAAGGGGGATCCCTACGACGGATTCGTATAGCAGTTCTCGACACCGGAGTTGACTTCGCTCATCCAGGTTTACGTAACGCCATAAGCATGGGACGCATCAAGAAAGAGTGGTGCCACAACTGGGTCGGCACTGATCCCAATGCCTTCAGTGACAACAATGAATTGCATGGGTCAAACTGCGCATATCTCCTTCACAAAGCCGCTCCAGAAGCCGACATTTATGTTGGGAAAATCTTTGCCGAAAATGTCGTGAAGGATTCAGAAGCAGAAAATATAGCCAGCGTAAGATACTAGATGTACAGGCCAAATTTTGCGGCTTAAGAAGCCCGTCATTTGGTTGCGAAACAGCCATTTATCAACCAAACACTAACATATTATCAAAAAAAAAAAAAACCAGGCCATCAAACATGCAGTGAACAACTGGGACGTGGATATAATCTCCATGTCCTTCGGATTGAGACGTCCGTCAGCTCGGAAAGATAGGGACAAGTTTAAGCAACGTCTCGCTTCAGAGCAGTACGAAAAAGTCGTCGGCAACATCGAAGAAGAGATTTGGGAAGCCAATTTCAAATCACCTCGGCTACTGTTCGCTGCAGCCTCCAATAATGGCAAGAATGAAAGGCGAGCTTTTCCGGCGAGCTGTTCAGGTGTCTTTTGCGTTCACGCTTCGGAAGGCAATGGCAAAGATGGCGGCATAAACCCCGAAATGGAGATGGGATTCAACTTTATGACGCTTGGGATGGGGTTGGAACTAAAGGAAAAAGAGAAACTGACGATCGACAGGACAGAATTTCCGAAGTACAATAAGGTGGTCAAATCGGGCACATCTTTCGCAACACCAATCGCTGCGGGCATCGCAGCCACAGTCTTAAATCTGGCACAGCATGCAGAACGTGCGGGACAGCTCAGCACTCGTGCGAGGAACAATATCAGACGACACTACGGAATGGAAAAGATGCTAAGGATCATGTCAAGTCCGAACCATGACGTCCGAGACCGGATGTGTTACATGGCACCGTGGCATCACTGGAGAAGAGACCAGGAGACGAAAGATGACGAGATGCAATGGATCTGGTCAACAATTGACAAGGAGCTATCGTAGTGTATGAGTAAACATTGATTGAGCGTATGACAATGTTAAATAATCAGTTACAAGAATGATGTTCGCCAGTCAATTCGACAGAATATGGCCGGCATTCTAGATGGGCGACTTGCTATACAACAGTCCATGTCTTGAGTTAGTATAGCCGGCCTCAAACCTACATGGATCAAGGGAGAATCAAGCAACGGGGTGTCCTCCTGAGGCCTCGTTCATATTCATGATTGTTTGTTCCATCGAGCTGTCAAGCTCATCGTCAATGAATCTTATTCCATCAAGGATGTCATTGTACTTGGAATTGGAATCGCCGAGTGTTGTTCCAACAATGCCTTCCGTGTCGCGTCTCATGTTATCCTTATCCCACCAGATTTTCCGAACTCGGATGCCGAGGATGAATGGCGTTGAACCGTTGAAACTTGTAGCAAGTCCCTCTTCACTCTCATACGTCCCTGTTACGCCAGACGTAATATCCGAATTCGGTTCTGTCGCCGCGACCTGACTGCTGACTCTGTTCTTCTTGGACTGAACCTTGGAGAGCCTTGCCCCTTCAGTCCACATCAAGCCGGTAATCATATAAACTGGCTTCTTGAGTTTTGTGTCGTTGATGTAAAAGGCTACACCATCAATTTCGAGAGCGTTCTTCATGTATTCGGACGTCGGGATAAAATATCTGACGAACAACTTCTCGACTGTTAGGACTTCGTCATTTTCGCGATTGCGCAAAAAAGAGAACGCGGCGCCCAATCCCTCGCTGCCAAATATGTTTGCCCAAATGCTGCCCTCAATACCTCGGAGCTCTCTCAGGCTGCGACTAAAGCCGGACTTCTCGGAGGGTTTGTCGAGTGGCAGTAGCTGTGTATCAGTGACCTTGATGGTGTCGCCAATGTTAAGTGGGGAGTAAACACTGTCATAATCAAGGCCTCGCAGTACAGTGCCCAGCTCCAGATGACCATTCGGGGGCGGTGCGATGCTAAAATCGGGGCACAGGTGAAAAGAAGGCTGAGGGCTAAAAGAGGTGGCCATCGTGATTGACGAAGATAACGGAGTTCTATTGAACTTTGTGGATAGAATATGACTTTCTGTAGATATCTCTCGTTGGGAAGGGAAAGAATCGGAAGGAGGGTGCCGCCGTCAAGATTTGTTGATTCGAAAGAGTTTTACGATTTCTATTCTAGTTCTTAAAGAAACCAACTGACCTGGGAGGCCTCAGACAGCTCACGCATTTGATCAAGTCAGCCTGCATATGCGCAAAAAGACGAGCAAGAGGGGAAGCTGCATACTGGACCGGGGGAAGGCAGGAAGCACTGATAGAGCCAAGGCCAGCATCAACATTTCATTGGACGCGGTCTACGCCGACTGTATCATAAGGGTTGAGATACAATACCCGGGTACCATCAGGCAATAACTAACAATGCTTTACGAGGCTTCCTTAGCCCGACAGATGATATAGCGGCCTGACCACCCAACTTCAAAGCCTGACTTGCGGGGGGTCAGACAACTTTTTGGGCACCCAACAAATTCAGCCACCTAAGGTACCCTCTACGTGCATTCCCATATGTATACGCAAGTCTCTAAGTACCTTGTTATCGAAGAACGTAAATTCTTTGTGAGTCACAAGTACGAGAATACAGTTTCAATAAAACAGTATAGTGCCCACCCAGCACTTGAATTGATATGTTTTTTCAAGCTTGCCATGAGAAAAAGGCGACTGTACTGCTAAAAACTGCTTCCCATCGGTATAAACAAGTCTCATATCGCCAGAACGACGGATGCAAAAGTCCCAACTCAATAAACTTGCATCATCGAGAATCGACAACATATTACACGGATGCGGGCCCACAAGCGTAATCATTATAACACGTGCCCCCAAAACCACCACCGACCAACGGGGGCATCGAGCAAAGCGGACAGTGTGTCTTACCATAATGTCCCAAAGGTCGTAACATACATACATGTATGCACCATTCTTATGGGATGGCGGATTTCTAGGCGGTGCAACTACTGGAAGGCACGACTACGACCGTTTTGAGGCGTCAAGTTCTCATCGGAAACAACTTAAGCTCGTGATTGGGAATTACGTGCAGTCCCTTGATCAACGCCCCACTCATTGGGCTGTAAACCCATTGAAAGTGGTCGATCACATGTTATGTAGGTGAGCGATATTGGCTGAAGCCTGGATATTCAGCTGCAGAGATTGAATTTGAGACACGACACAAAATCGAGAGCGACCTCAGCTGGAGCAGACTGCACCAGGAAGAATTCTTTTTAGTCGATTTATTCGAGGGGATTTTCAACATTTAAGCTGGGATATCTCTCACCAGAACTTTCAACCAGCGGGCCACCGATGGAGGATCAGCTCACAAGGCTGGCTAGACCTGGCGATGATTGGGTAGCCGGCGAAGGATCGTCGTCATGTTGGTGCTCATGAAGCAAAAGTAAGTAGTGGCCCGCCCCTTAGAAGGGTGTTTGAGCAACCCTGTAGTCTTATGAACCCCGTATAGTACTCTCTTCTGCCTGTCCATAGCAGTAACCCATAAACTGTAAACTCTAGCTTTTCGTCGACCTTGGTAGACTGACGATAGCTTCCATCAAGGTTGAAGAAGATGGCAGTTTTTAAACTCACGGTCAAATCGAGGATCTCATTAGTACAAGAAAGCATGTTCGATGACCAGTTATCACTACGCCACGATGAAAAAGGGCAGGGAAGAGTTTGAAATTTAGTGATGATCACACCCTAAAGTCAAATTGCTCTTCAACTAGAAGTTTTGAAAGTAAGTAAATTTTTTTTTATGGTTCATAACTTATTTTTTTTTCCAGCGCAGTTGGTTGCTTTAGCATTGGCTATGTACATTTCAACCATTACTTTCCAGGGAAGGCGGGGCTTCCGATGAAGGGAGGTATCCTCGCTGGGTTTTGAACCTTCCTACCTCTTTCTCTGATTATTGTGTCTTTATCACTCTGCCGTTTCGAAAACGCAACCCCCCCTATGAAAGGTGGCACTTTCGCTGGGTTCTGAACCTCTCTGCCTCTTTCTCTAATTATTGTGTCTTTGTCGCTCTGTCGTTTTGGGAACGCGACTCCGCCGGTAAACGGTGGGACTTTAGCTGTGTTCTTGACGCGACTAACATTCTCAACCTCACTGGGCAAACAATTAGCACAAAGAGGGTCTATCTGAAGCTTTCGTCAGACTTACGTTGACTCAAAGGGGAGGGCGCTAGCCTCGAAGAGAGATACAGCAACCACAATGACGGAGAAAAACTTCATGATTACTATCGTTTAGCTCAAGCTGCGGCGAAAGTAGATTGTTTTGGGTAAAGGCAACTCGCTCTTAGCCGTTGGCGAAATCTTTGAGGCTTTATAATACTCTTGAAAATTAGATCGGCCTCGGTGTTTGGCATAAACCCCTTGAAGACCGTGTTGCTGACGCACACAAGGTTCAAGGCGACGTTTCTGTGTGTTTAGGAAACACGACTCGCGCTCTAACGTCGTTTCCAGTAGCCAAGGACGGCCTTTTTTCGCCGAGTGATCTCGCAATAAAAGTGTCCGATAAACTTTAAGGCTTGATTCAGAAAGTAGGCGAAGCCAAAAATAGTTTCAACCATCCGAGCTTTTGAGTGATCGCTGAAAATTATTGCAAGTCCGGTGTGTTATTTGGGACAGACATGGACAACACTTATGAGAAATACGTATTGCACAAGTAGTGTTGCAAATGTCTTGGTTCTATGAAGGGGCTTGCGAAGACTGGGATTCATTTCGAAGATGTCTACTAAATACAGTATATTGCAATAAGTCTAATCCTGGACCTGGAAATTCTATCTATACAACCCACAACTGAGCAATTCTACTAAGTAATAAGTGCATCACTGAGCAGGCTTGGTCACGAAGGCTTTGTTCGAAGAACGCGTCTCGCCATCCATAGTTTAATATGATCGCATCGCTACTGTATCTACCACTACTTTTTGCCTGACATGCCACCTAAGCAAGCGACCTCACTCGTTCTAGAAGCCCAATGTAAGACATCAAACGCCTAGGCCGCTCCAGCAGCGGCAACTCCGGCACCCGTGGACAAGTTGGCTTTCTTGCCAGTCTCTTTGCCGTTACCTCCATTCTTCTTCTTGCCGTCGTCAACCGCCGTACCATTGTTCTTGTTTCCAGCCTGGTTTCCCTTCCCGTTATCCTTGCCCTTGTTCTTGTCGGCATTCGCGTTTCCATTGTTCTTCTTTCCATCTTTATTGTTGTTATTGTTGTTGGAGCCGGCGTTGGCACCAGCGTTGGTATTTCCACCCGCCTTGCCGTTGTTGTTCTTCTTGCCGTCGTTATTGTTCTTGCCGTTGTTCTTCTTCCCATCATTGTTGTTCTTCCCCTTTCCGTTGTCTGCGGCCGTACCGTTATTTTTGTTTCCACCAGCACCGTTGTTCTTCTTCCCGTTGTTCTTGGCGGCATTGTTGTTTTTCTTTCCAGTGTTCTTGCATCTGCAAGCTTTACCCTTTGCGTCTTTGCCTCTCTTCTTTCCCTTGGCGCATCCTTGACAATTGTTGTTGTTCTGCTTTTTGCCATCGTTATTGTTCTTCCCGTCGTTCTTCTTGCCGCCTCCTGCCATTCGGTTAGCCTAGTAATAAACGCTGTACTGTCAAACTTCCTACCAGCAGTGTTGTTGGCCTGGCGTGCTATGAGCTCGCCAAAAGTGGCAGCCTCGTCAATGTCACGAGTGGTGAGATCGCTCTCATCATCCTCTTCGGCTCTATCTTCAATCGAGAATGGATGTAAAGGTGAATGTTGTTCGTCTCTATCAACAAGAGCAGGGCTGTCCGTGATGGCCTCGAGGTCTCGGGCAATCTCGTCGCGGGTAGCGATGAGACCGGCGTCTGTGATAGCTGCGGCGGCAAGGCCAGCCAGGAAGAGAACGGAAATGGGCTTCATTGTTGTTGGAGTGAATGTGAGAGTTGTTGAGAGTGAGGGAAGTGGAAATTTGAGATGTGAAATATCTAGAAGATAAGGACAAAAGTGAAAGAAAGGAAAGCGTCCGGCGCAATGAAGCAATCTGGCTGCTGTTGGTATGATGCTGGTTTCAAGGCCCTGATAATTCATGGGAATATTCTATGCTTTATAGAGTCGGTCGGTATAGTGTCGATGGGCAGATATCAGCATTGCAATCAACCACATGGTGAGGTGTGCTGGCCTGACATCCTCCTCACCCCTGGTCTGTCAAATCAATCACTTACACATTGTGCCGGCGAAACCGAAGGCTGTCAAAACAATCAAGGTGATATGTACAGGTCCGTGGGAAAATGGTGTGCATGTTGCACAGCCATCGAGGATCTGTGTTCGTCTGGTGTCATGTAAGTGCTGCCATCCCTTCGCTTGGAACGTCTGTACGGAGACCTCAAGTTCGGATTCGGCTGTAAGCGGAATTTTCTGCTACACTTTAGACGAAGATATCGCTTGAGAATCCAGTACGTATCGAGCAATATGGTTAGTTTGTATGATCAGCAAACCAAGCATTTGGTGTTCTGCTTGGGCCGCCGGCAGGTTTGTGCCGACTCATTTAGCACCGCCTCCATTGATTCAAATTCCCATGGAGAACTGGGAGTGATGCGAAGCTTCTGTCGCAGATCATTGTCGCCGCGGGGAAAGCATCTGCGGAGGCCGAGGCCAGCGGTTGAAGGATTGGAGGTGAAGGGAACAGGCGGCCTGGGCTAACTGACTTGGTCGGTTGGCTCGTGCCGAACAGCTCTGATACCACACTACAGGAGCTAGCGAGTGAGGATCTGCTGTCTCGTGTGGGCTTCCTTTTTGGGCTTTCTGAGACAGCGGTTATTCCAGACCATCGACAAGCAATCCTTTCAGTCTCATTTTTGAGACGGATTAGAGTTAAACTGTTGAGCTGAACAGTTCATTGTCCATGAAGAATTCCACAATCTGGTCGATCTCAGGCTTTGACATAGGCCCTGAAAAATCTAGACGAAGATGTGTTGCGCATCCCTACTTGCTTAAACGCCCGATCCGGGCGTTTGGCCAGATCATCGTCCGAGCTACTCTTCACAGTTCTCTGTGCCGACGTCTGGAGCAATTTGACCTCGACGTTGCAAGTTGTCCGATTATCCGCGAATTATTTACCTGACGGGCTAGGAGCTTTTTTGCCGCGGAAACTAGTTGCCGTGCCTTTGTTAGTGACACGCTAGGATTAAAGTTGTCTCAAGTAAAATTAGTGTTGAGCAGGTTTGACCAGGTGGGTTGAGCCTCTTTCAATGAGCCTTACTCTTTCAGCCAGGTGCATCCTTGCTCGAGATCTATCCCACAACCGTGGAACTAATATAATGCTCTGCCGTGATCCGAGCTGCCCGCATGTTGAGGAAGGTATCAAAAAGTGTGCCCATTATGATGAGATGAGTTCTGTCAGATGGAATGGCAGGCTCCATCCTTCTCCGCATGTGCAGAAACAGGCAGAGGAGTTGGATGAGCTCAACCTTGCGGTATTAGTCACAACCTGAGTCAATCAGTAAGGATTAGATGATCATTGACGCTTCAACTTCATTTGGGCTGGAAAGTCACCGGTCCGTGTTTGGAATTTCTCACGTGGTAACGATCTTCTCCATCTTCCGCGGGATCCCATGATCTGTTCCGACGGGATAGGGTCCTCCATTGATGCTCGGAGCTCCGAGAGAAGTAGAGGGCAGCGTTCAGTTTCACCGACAAGAAAATACTACTCGAGCATGAGACGTTGCTGTGAAAGCCAGACATCCGCGGGAAAGTCCGCAGATGAGTGAGGACTTTTGATTGGCAGAGAAAAGAAAATACCAGCTATGTTAGTAGGTATTACCTGAAGACGCGAATCTTTTAGCATTGGAGGCGCTCAACAGATGATAAAATTCTTCAAGACCTTTTTCGTCTACCAACTACTCATATTGACCGAAAGACGGCCATGTGCTTGCATCACTGAAGCTGATGCATGAACTTATAAGTATGCGACGGCGATGCCGCTTCACCATTTCCGAGACATTGTCCGAGGTATGTATATTTCTGCTCAGAAACAAGTCTGGAACCTTGAAATTACGTAGAACTTAGCAGGAGTTTTTCTTAACGAAACTTCTCTCTCAACTATCTAGCGCTTCGCTCGCTACAAAGCTAGCTCTCCGCTTCTTCCTGGCTTCCTCCTACTGCAATCGGTGTAGCCAGCCAAGTGTTCTCAAGTAAAGCTGCTGCTGAGGGGCGATGCGAAGGATCGTACTGGAAAATAGATCTAAGCATGGCAATGATCTGCTTTTCCTCGTCATCATCCACATCCTCTGCCTTGTGGGCTTTTATAAGCTGCTCCAAGGTCTCATGAAGTTGGGGCGGTCCGCGCTCGCCTGCGTCGAATTCAAACACCTCCATATCGTCAGCGCCATCACCGAATTTGTCTGCTCCACCATCTGATAGGCTGTGCTCGGAGTTTCCGTCCTCGGAGAAGTCTTCTTCGAAGTCCATTGGGCGCGCATCAAGTCGGTCTCCATCTGAGCCGTAGTACTTTATTGCATTCGGCCATTTTGCCGACAGATTCTCTGGCAGCGATCCGATGATGTCAGTTAGCTGTATCAGGTGCTCATCCTTGACACCGTTGTCGCTAAGACCGAAAGGAGGGAGTTCAAATAGGGCCACGCCTGTGATGAGTTCGTAGGTGAGACAACCGAAACTCCAAATATCGATCCCAGTGCCGAAGGCTTCGTCCAGGATTGCCTCGGGTGCTCGTAAAGATACCGGAGTCACAACTGAGCGCGGCGGATCGTCTATACGAAAAGCTAGAGCCAGGTTAGCCTCAAAAATTCAGGATATGGAGATGTCCTACCTCCACCTAAGTCCGAAAGCTTTGTCACTTCATCTTGCCCTGTGAGCGCGAATTCCGACAAGGGCTCAGACACAGCCAGGTATTTGGGAGCCCATTTGTCAGGCTTGCCATCAATGCGCTGCAAGTGGTCGATATTTGTAGAGTCCTCGGCTTGCTTAAGCACCTGGCGCTCGAAATGAGTGAGGTCCCGCAGAGCGAAGAGAATGTTGCCGGACTGAAGGTCGCCGTGAACTATGTCATTCTCATGGAGGAACCGTAGCCCTGAAAGCACGTGTCGTAAAATACGTTTGGTTTTGTCCTTTGCAAAGCGTCGTACAGGTGGGTGACGGGGATCATAAATCTCGGCGGGGGCGTTGAGGACGGAGGACATGCTTGGACCCATGGGTTCGAGTACAAGACAAAGATGTCTTCCATTAGGGCCGTCATGGTAGAACGAATCTAGTAGGGCCACGACAAATCTTGAGCACGGATCCTCTGGTACCCTTTCGGCGAGGAGGCGTTGGATCTTCACTTCGTTTGGTTCATCTCGGTTGGCTACCTCGATCTTCAAAGCAACGTAACGATTATTTATAGAGACATATGAGTTGAATGAAACTCGGTGGAAAACTTGAAGTGGAGGGAACACTGGCGACGCGACTTACGATGAATCAAAAGCAAGCCAGACAGTTCCGAATGAGCCGTTCCCAAGCTTTCGTATAACTTCGTAGTGACCGTCGAAGACATCACCAAAATGAACTGGATGAAATCCTCCAGGATGATAAGACTCTGCCCATTCGCATGGCGTACCAGTTTGGTAAAATCTGAAGTTTCCCTCTGACGAAGGGTCGGTCGAAGGAGGCGTTGGCGGTGGCGACGACATTGTGAATTTGCGGTCAACTCAGGGTTCCACAGAAGCTACAATTTCGGCGAGGCTTGTTGTTGATATATCAGGGCATGCGCTGGCCTGATTACAGCTTCCGAGCGTCGATGCGGGGGATGATGAAAAGTTGAAGAACTTGAGATGTAAACTGACGGGAATGAAGTTGACGAAGATCAATCAGTGCCTTGGCTTATGCCGCGCGCTTGTGGAATCCGCCGTGCACCCCACCCACGTACCCACGGACCACACCGATCGCCTTGCCGCCCATTAGCACGCTGAAAATGGTGCCCCACTGTAGATCAGTCTGGACGCTTACAGACACTCTGCCCGGGACTTCTACTCTTAGGTAGTGTCAGTGTGCCAGTAGGTACACCTCGGCGCACCATAGGTAACTGCACTTGTTGGTCCAACGGCCGCAGCCACAGTGGCACAGCTCAATGAGCCTAGCGGCAGTCGGCCTAGTCGATTTCAGGGAGTTCAATCCCACAAACATCCAACATCGGCGAGCTTTGCTCTGCCTATCAACGCCTCGTACGCCAGTGGTCAGACTAGAATGGCCTTCTCGAGATATGTGTCCTAGGCTGTTATCATGTATGAATTCCCCCTCTCAGCATACTTTAAGTGGTTGGCGCATATAATGGCTTTCTAGTAATGGTCCCCATACAAAGTTATAGTGATGCAAGAAGTCACTTGACGGTGGACTTTTACACCCCAGGCGGCACTGCGGGAACATTCAGATACCATTCTAGGCGGCATGTCCCGGCAGCTTCGCCAGCTCGTAGGCAGGGACGTAGCTGGCGCTGAAACATTTACATCTAGAAACATCGGTGTAATAAAGGCGGTAGCTATTTTTTGGAAAACTTCCCCACTCATGCTAATGTACAATAACGGACGGAGCCAATGTTTGTAAGGATACTGACTTATTGCACAATACAAGAAATTTTCCGTGAAAGGGAAGTCAACTCCAAGTGAAGGTAGATAGTATGAATGACAGGGGAGTGTCGATACATGTAGCAAGAGGTCATACCCCAAGTCTTGCGACAAATCAGACAACAGCGAGTCCTCAGCCTTTGTTTGATGTAGGAGAGCACTTCGGGTTTCGATAACTATATGTGAATATTTCCTTGCCACTATTTCCCTATTTCCCTTTGTTCTTCTATATCACTATAAAAGTCAACAGAAAGATTCAGCTTCCAACGGTGATGAGAACGTGGATATCGATAAGACTAGCCATGTTAGGGCATGATCATGATTTGTGACACATGGAAGGGAATTTCTCAAAGCAAGTTTAGTCGGAATAAAATGTGGTCCACAGATGCAGTTTAATAGTCTATATACGAGGCAGAGAAGATCGCATTCGCGTATCGCCAGAATCGAGCAATCGAGTTTTGCCCTCCCAGCTACCCTATCTTTACGACGATACTTCGTACGTTTTGTTTCTCATCTTGCACCGTGATCTCTGCTGTAATTCGTCCCTGTAAGATCAGAAAGCCTTCGCTAGCTAGAGAATCCGATGAAGTGTGTTGAATGCTTCGAAGAGCAAGAGGGATTCAACCACTATATCTTGGATTTATATGGCAAGCCTCCAACTTCATGATTCGTCACATGTTTTAGATCGCCAACTTGGTAAATTCATTTTGCAGTCTCAATAATGTTCAACGTCTTTTGTATCGTATTGGCAGCTTAGCGATAAGAAGCCACGAAAGGTCATAAATTACAAAGGAGTTCCCTGCTTGATTGCCGCTTGCCCCTTGCTCTTGATTCAGGTGAAATACACCAGTGGTAGGTTTTGCTAGGACAAAAGCAGACATTCTGGGCAGACAGGTCTTGAAGCGTAGGTAATGGTAATTGAGGGGCGACGAGCGTCCAATCACAGTTTCCATACGTTCAACTCACTGTCAGCTCTTTCAGGAAGGTGTGTTGGATGTCGTTATCCTTTGGCTCCAGGGATCAAGATGTGCGGACACATTTTGTCCCCGGTTCCGTTGCAATCAAGCGGACGAAGTGTCTTGGCCGCCCAACTTTGTTCCTGGCGAGGGATTTACCCCTCATCACCTCACCTACCACGCCATGCAGGGTCTTTGCCCAATATTGCATGCTTGGCACCGCTCGGGAATAACTCTATACGACGAGACAGGCATGTCAAAGCGAATCAAGGAAGGGCTCTGCGCGTTGCCATATTTGAAGGCTCGGCTTTTCGCTGGGGACCTTCTAAGGTGAATATTGTGTAAGACTTTAGTCAGTTCTGCAGCCTGCCAGCTAGAGTTAACTTCTAGTGAATGACGATCAGCCATCTGAGCCTGAATTTACTCGTAGGCCTTACATCTTGCAATGGATTCCACCTTAATAGGCGGCCGACTTCGGATCTTCGACAAGGATCCCAATTAGGCTCCGTTCCGAACCTTCCACATTAACTTCAGTAGCCAGGTTTGGACCTGCATCAGATGCCGGTGCATAATCCTCATTGGAACGCACATTGGTAGTGTAGTCCCTCTAAGGTCAGTTCATGATGGCCTTTACTCCTCTGTGTTGGCCGGGGTAAGAAGCAATTACCGCCATTCTGTTCGGCGTGATATCCGAGCCAGAAAACTCTCGCCTTCTACCGCGCCTGTTCTGTGATCCATTTCTGAGAATTCGATTGGCGAAGATGTGCCAAGCTCCGGCCACGGGTGTCACCTCGGTAGAAACAAGGTGACCACCGACTATCACCGAGCAGGAAGCTGGCATCTAATCTAATCATACCCATCTTGCCCGATCCACTCGAATGCAACTAAACCATTGAGCATAATTGAACCCCTGCATTCCACATGGTCCCATTGACAAGATGCTCCGCGCCAGGCGAGGTGAGCAGCATTGGGGATTTTGAAGATATCCCCTAATTACCTGAGTACCTATCCTGTTGGCTTTCTTAGTACATAAGGTGATAAGAGCCTGCTCCGTTGGTCACTCATGTTGCACCATCCCACCGGCTAAGGCTCAATGCTGCCTTGTCCTTCTTGCTCATCAAGACTTGCCGTGGGCTCTGAGTGATCGTTTTCAGACGTTACACTTCATCATGGAAATCAAGTCTCTCTTGGCTTTGGCCTCCTTCATCTTCTGTGGAGAAACCCTTGCGCAGACGTCTTCAGATGACCCTGAAGCAATTCTTGGACCAATTTCCCCAATCTCCATCGAAAGTGGCCGATACATCGTCAAATTCTCATCCTCCGGCTCAGCCAGATTCAGAAAGCGTGACGGAAATCTTGTATGACTAGTCCTTTGACCTGAGCTACGAAAGAAATGCATCCCTCTGACATAACCACAGGACACTGCCGGCTTCTTTACCACCCTCCAGGATGCCGGCAAAGATGCTTCCCCAGCGGTGAGCTTCAACTCGCAGCTGTTCCACGGGGCTTCCTTTGACCTAAAGAACGATACTTCTGAAACTGTAGCCGATATTCAAGCTCTGCCGGAAGTTGAGAAGATCTGGTCTGCTGCACTTTTCTCACTTCCCATCACGACTGAAGCGGTTGTGCAGACAGAGTTCCCCACTTGGAACCCTCACAATGACACCAACGTCGCTCTTGCGCATGCCAACGGCCATTTCGGCGAAGGTGTGGTAGTTGCGATTGTTGACTCTGGTGTTGATTACAATCACCCTGCTCTTGGAGGCGGTTTCGGCTCAGGGTTCAAGGTCGAGAGCGGCTACGATTTTGTCGGCGACAACTACGAACCTGGAGATGTCTACCTTCCAGACGAGGATCCTATTGACTGCAACGGTCATGGCACACACGTTGCTGGCATCATCGCCAGCAGCAACGAGTTCGTGCCTGGTGTTGCACCGTCGGCCCATCTTCGTGCCTATAAAGTATTTGGGTGCGGGGGCAGCACCTACGAGGACGTGATTGTTGCGGGCTTCCTCCGAGCTCACGAGGAGGGCGCAGATATTGTCAGTGCCTCGCTTGGTTCCAACAGAGGATTCGTCGACACCCCTCTTGCGGTGGTGGTAACCGCCATCCAAGCTGCCGGCACCTTTGTCTCCATCGCTGCTGGAAACGCTGGCGAAAGCAGTAAGTCTGCCTCAAATCGAGAGAAGTAGGCTACAGCTGACCGGTGGTGGTAGATGGCCCATGGTATACTAGCAGCGGAGGCAATGGCATCGGAAGTACTGCTGTTGGGAGTGTAGAGCATGACGAGCTCGTGGCATGGACGGCAACTGCACGCTCAAGTAGTGGCGAAAGTCGCGATTTCGTGCGTATTCGACATCCCAATCCGACACTAATGCTAGATACAACAAAGAAATTGAGAACTGACGTACGCTTTTAGATCTACCTTGCTGACAACGGAGTTCAATGGTCACTCAACGGGACGGCCCCCGCTTCGTGGGCCCCCAATCCTCGAGACCATGCTGATCAGTGTGGCATTGATTTCTCTATTCCTGATACCAACGTTTTGGTACTTCCGTGAGTTCAATCGGATCCCTGCTGTGCCAAAGTTTTTCTAACCATGGACCATAGCCGAGCGGATTGTGGATGGCAGAGAACCGACAGCGGCTTGATGGAAAAGGTGAACTGGGTCCTGATTTACAACTACAACGGCTCCGATTGGGAGATCCCTGGTCGTGTTCGATACGACGCCGAGCGGCAAGCCAAAGGGTGTAAGTTTAAGATCTCTCGCGTGATGCACAAGATCGAATCTGACAACCACTACCAGACAGCTTGATCACCTATGAAGACGGAGACTGGCTCGTCAGCCAACATGAGAGGAATTACACCGTCACCTTTGAGTTTGTCAGCGACAACAAACCTGCTGCGATTGATCGTCCTTCCTTTGCAGGAGGGAGGATCGACCAGTTCACATCTTGGGGTCCAACCCTGGATGCGCGCATGGTTCCCCAAATCTCCGCACCAGGTAGGTTTCCTAAACGATCTTAGAGATTATACGGTTGACAGTTTCAAGGTGGCTCGATATTCTCTACCTTCCCGATAGGCTCAGGCAGTTGGGCGACTCTTTCGGGAACCAGTATGGCCACTCCTTACGTGAGTATTGTATCAAGAGTACCGATACGAGATCGATGTTTGACTAAGATTCATTAGATATCTGGTGTTGCTGCTCTGTTCTTCTCATCCCGCGGTGGACGAGCTGCCCTCGGGGACGGTGGTGCCAAGCTGGCTCATGAGGCCATTGTTGCCAGCGGCAAACCGATTCGTCATTACGACGGCACTGACAACCTCGCGTGAGTAATCCCTTCGTGTTCCGTTTTTCTGTTGGGGGACGAATGCTGATATAAGTTCTATTCTCTCAGATCCGTGATTCATCAGGGAGCAGGTTTGGTTGATGCCTTCAAAGTTGTGGGTTACTCGACCCTCGTAAGCCCAGCAGTGCTCAACCTCAACGACACGGAGCATTTCCAGGGTACTCAAAGCGTACAGATCACCAACTCTGGTGATGAGCCTGCGACGTACCAGTTCACTCACGAAGCTGGGATTACTGCCCTCACCAAGAGTGCCGGAACTGCTTGGGTATCTGTATCTCCTCCATACGTCTCCGGGGACGGAAATACTGCCACGGTCATATTCTCGCCTGCCGAGCTCACCTTGGGTCCTGGTGAAAGCGGTTCTGTTTCTGTTACTTTTACTGAGCCATCTTCACCTGATGCTAGCACTCTTCCAGTTTACGGAGGGTCAATTGTGGTTGCTGGCTCTCAGGGAGAAGTGGTACGAGTGTCTTACATGGGTAAGTCAGTCGCATTTCATAACCACATTGAGTTCAGCTAACAAGTTTCAGGAATCAAGGGCTCTCTGTATGCCAGTGATGTCTGGGAGATGGAGCGAGGTGTTCCTCTGCTACTCAGCGGATATGGCGGCCTCATGGAGGAGGGCCACAACTACACATTTGAGGAAGGTGGCGATGTTCCGCAGCCGTATTTCAATGTCCTTTGGTCAACTCAAGAAATCAGCTTCGACGTAAGACCAAGCACTTCACTCATCGCTACAGACCTCTAACACTGCACCACTAGTATGTCGCGCGCGACTGGAATGAGACAGACTGGGCCTACCCAGCAGTCCCTGGGCAGGCCAAATACCTTGGTTCCTTCATCACAGTTCCCCAAGGGCTTTCGGACTCTATCACCTCCTTCCCTCTGAGGAATTACCCGCGAAACGGTGGTGGTGTCTATGCCCCTCCACAGAATGTTTTCGCTCATGGAGGTGATATACCTGCTGGCGAGTACCGCATTCTCTGTCGCGCACTCCGTACCTTCGGTGATCCCAACAACTTGAACGACTGGCAATACAAGGTCTCACCGTGGTTCCGCATCACTAGGGAGAAGCCGCCTGTCACTGCGACTCCCACGACAGCGGAGGCCACTCCGGCCCCAACGACCTCTTCCGTCAGTTTGCCGGAGCCATGCGCCGCAACTTCCACACCAGTCAGCATCGAAGCAACCCTTGCTTCCGGCGAAGGTCCTTACAACTTATACCTCTACGCTGACTTTGCTTCGATCGATCTGACGGGATCTCAAACCCCGATGAACTTCTCCATCACCAACGGCACTCAAGTCCAGACTTGGTTCAACTCCTCTTGGAGGTTCCTCTCTGTGCATACCAACACCAACAGTTTGATCTACGTGTACGCGTCGAGCCGTGTGACTGGCGCCTTTTCTTTCCTCGGATGCACCGTCACAGATGGTGTCTTGGGCTGCGAATCTAACGGCAAGTCTGCGCTCTACGTTTGCGACAGCACCACTGGACTTTTGCGTCACGGAACTCAGCCTCTTGATGGGTGCCAGACTGTCACTCTCAAAGTTGAGCCGAGAGAGAATCCTAACTGCGCAGATACGACGACTTCTGTTACTGCTACGGAAATAACAGCGGCGCCGACTACTTTTTCGACTGCAGTCGCCTCGGTCTCATTGTCTTGACTTGGATTTGAGGAAACTTTTGGGCATAATCTTGGGTAGTTACTAACCTGAATGGTATTACTGATCCAGTAAATACTGTCATTCAACTTTGTACATACTTTACCTTTCCCCGTGTAGCTATAAACGCTATCGGCACATAAACCTGATGCACGAATTTCACTCATAACCTAAAAGTTGTGTTGAATGCGTTGACGAGATTGGTTTTAGCAGTTTGCTTATATATTTTGTCCTTAAACTATATACACGATGAACTAATTGCACCAGTAAGTTACCATATCTCCAATGGTAAAAATGTTACTTTCATCTCCAATCATAAAAATTTGTAATTCATCCCTTAGTTGGGGTAGTCCTTCAGCAAACTTCCGTAGCCCTCAAGCAGAGATGGGCCTCCAGCAACAACCGTAATCTGGTCATTGGTCCCGACGACAACACCGTAGAGGTACCGATCTCCGTTCTCGTTGATCCAGAAAGGACCTCCAGACTGTCCACCTTGAGCATCGGCATCAGTCACAACCGGGGAACCCCTATCACACAGCGTCGCGGACGAAGCCGTGATAGCCTCTTGGCGGTAGGCCTGTTGTCCGCCCTTGTCACCAGGGTACCCGTAGTGGAAGAACATGGCGCGGTTGAGCTGAGTGTCAGGGTTCACCGTCTTCAACCCAAGCCAGCCGTTGGTGGACCCAGCCTTCTCGCCGAGGACGAAGATGGCCCAGTCGTAGGCGTTTGCGCACCAGCCCTCCTGACCGTAGTCGGGGCGGAAGACGCGGATCACGTCATAGCCCCCGAGAGCCTCGCCGTTGTCGTAAGCGGGCTGGAAGCGAGCAGTTGCACCATTCTCTGGGATGCAGTGGCGCGCAGTGACAACGTGGCGGGAACCGATCAAGGCACCACTGCAGATTGCACCGTTGGAAAGTGCGATTCTACCCATGGCACGGTAGGGGTAGTCCTTGTTGGTCCAGAGGACACGGTTGTCGACGCCTCCGATGATGCCACGCTTAGAGGGTTGAGAAGACCCAGGATTTGAGGGGGGGAAGTCCGTGAAGTTGGCATCTTGACCGGTAAGACTAAGGGTCACGACCTCGGGGACGACTCCAGCCACCTTGCGCTCCTTGAGTGAAGAGACAATGGTAGGGTCGAAGCCAATGGGCTTGATCAAGGTTGATGGGTCTGGTAGGTTGGCACCTTCAACTGTGGGAGCAGCGAAAGCGCATGATCCGAAAGAGAGAGCCGCGGTGGCGGCGAAGGGCACAAAGCGAACCATTGTGTTTCAAGGGCCGAAGGAGAAATCAGTTGGTAGTGATTGAGTTGTAAGGCTGGGATGAGATGATTCTGAAAGTTATCAATGTCTGAGAGCAACACAGACTTTATAGTCGCCCAAGTTGACTCACTGGCAACTTCGCATCGTATCGATACTGGAGGGTTCTCGACCCGGTCATGACCCAAAGCTAAGGAAGTTTACTGGAATCATTGCTGCCTGGGAATGCATGCTACGTTGACTTGGACCCCATCAATCAAGCTCTATAGGATGTTGCTAGACAGTGAGACTGAACTGGGGTAAGCTGGCCCCCATCGTCGGACTGAAAAACGAGCATAAGCGCCTGGAACGCTCGTTCGGAAGCTGAGGAACGGGTAAGATACTAGGTCTACGCTATGAGTGCGAGCGGCTAGTCAGAATTCTGCCCTGTCGATCCGACTGCAGGGCCCAGAACCATCAGGCGACGACCAGAGACCTTTGCAAAGGAACGCTTGGCGTATCCAAAGGAAGATGAGAAATGGGATGGTTTTCAGGGGATGTTTGAATAGCCTTGCAGCGCTGATAGGTGAGATCGCGTTTATCCCTGCCCGTTTTTTAGGTTGCGAGATTGAGCTGAGGCGGATACTACCCGCCGCGGAAGCAGTCAGACGAACTCCACAGGATCCTTCAGGGCTATGTTGAGTTGAAGCCTATTCAAGGATGCGGGTTGCGGGAACAACACAACCGGATGAACGGTGACGGTAAAGTGCATCTGTGGTTGTTGGTGGCGTTTTCAGTCTTGCTAACTACTGCCTCAATCACTTTACGCATAACCGGTCTACCTTCGAGACTCCTCTTTTGACCTTCATCTCCCCACCGAAGGCATCAACATGGTCGCTCTGGAACAGAGCCGCAGAGACCATGGATCTTTAATCGCCTCAACTATTCAAGCATCCGAACTCCACTTGAGATCAAGGCGACATCCGCCGTTGCCAACTCGAATCACATGAGATGATATGCATTTGATTTTCCAGTCAGTGAGACGAAAATGCAGCTCGATGAACTTCACCTTTTCCGTAGTTGTCAGCCCGACTTCTAAGTGATGATTTCTCGGAGTGCAACTGCGCCAGTAAGCAGAGCGTAACATCGACTAAGAGAAATTGAGTGCCAAGCTTCACGAAAAGCTTTCATGAACCACGGTAGAATCGAATCACGCAACATTCTCGATTCCTCATTCTCACGCAGAATATTCCTCTGTGCCTCGACCGCTAGAAGTTATTGTGGCTATGTGCATGCTCAAAGCCCAAAAATACAACCCCGAACATTTGTAAGCTACCTTTTGTGGGGCCGCCGATGCAGGTGAGCCTCCTTCGTGGGCAGGGTAACTTCGCTTGAAGTGTCTACCACTCAACTCCTCAAGATGTCGTAGCTCATGACAAAGGCAAGCGACCGATGCGATTTTGGTACCGGCCTGTTCAATGCTTACTTTCAATTAGGAAGGGTCATGTGTAACTCTTCTAAAGCGCATTTTCTGTGAAGCATTGAAGCAGAGGACATTGCGAGCTTGGTGCACTTAGGGTAGACCGCAGAGCTAATCTACAGTTGAAGACACACAATAACAACCACAGGGCCCTCGGCCGCAAACTCCTGTCCAGAGCTTCGGCCCGAACGACATCAGAGTAACCACGATTGGTGATGAAAATGACAGATCGTGTAATACACTCTGCTTTCAAGATCTCTACTCGGCAGAAACCAGCAAAGTAAACGTCATACAATCAACCGTCGCCATAGATGATAGTGTACGGTGGACAGTGGATCCCGAGAACTCGGCTGCAACACTCGCACAGGACTCGATCTCGGATCCGTCGTCCAGAGAAATCAGGCGGAGCAGCTTCACAGACTCCTCGGTATCATGTCACCAACCTCCCTTCTACATACCCAGGCACCGTTTGGGGGGCAAAACAAGGTCCGTCGTGTAGCCGCGCAATCGAGCTCTAGGATACACCCGAGATTGCGAAGTTTGCGCGCGTATGGAAGGAGCCATTCCAAGCGCCAACGTCATGTGCAGCGGTGTCACAAAGTCCATGAATGTCATTTGGGCCGGTCGAGCGATCGTGATAGGATGCACGACACGCCGCCGTGTTGGAAGGTTTGTGAGGATGTGCTGTAATGTCCCAAATGTTGTCAGGCTTGATGGTCCATCAGCGGTCAACCACCCTGACTGCATTTCGGGTCCGACGTCTTCAAAAATGTCACGAGATGAAAGGTTAGAAGATGGCGATCATAAAAATTGATATTTTGAGCAAAATGCAAAAGAATTGGGCCCTAACCAGGATTCGAACCTGGGACCTCTCCCAGACGTGTCGTGAAGACCCTAAGGGAGAATCATACCGCTAGACCATCAGGGCGGATGAACAGATTTGGAATATGTTTCGTGATTCCATCACCAAATTTAGAACTTATATATGGTTAGCAGAAGTCGAAGAGAAGAGTCTTCTCTGCATCCGCTGCAGGAAAACCTTGATGTGATCAATAAGAGCTTGCGTGACCATCACTACAGATGCCGATTCTTCGTTGACTTAAGAGATGTTAGACTTCGCATCGATAGTAACATCTTGGTCATTACATCAATGCATCTCTTTGGCCATATGACACTTCCCCGGGTGTACGTATCGTTCATTCTCTTGAAAAGCTGGCCATGACATCCAGTCTGAGTAACTAGACAAGGTCTTGTTAGAACTTCATTCCTGCCCATTACAAAGTGTACTGGAAGTCCGGCCTCTTGTCCCCGAGCGCCTCGATCTCTTTCTCAGACTTATTCTCAACCCAGTGATCTCTCTTCCCCTCCCTCCTCTTCTTATTTTCGATCCTCAGCAATGTCGTCATGAGAGCACTGCCACCGCACAGGAAGATGGACATGTACGCCAATACAACGCCGTGGCCCTCTGGGAACCTCGGGCCGTGGAAGTAAATGTTGGAGCTGACGATACCGTTCAGGTTTCCCCATCCAATCACGAACCCTAACACCACGCCACGCTTGTAGACGCCTTCATTGTTGTTGGCCACCCAGGTGATGGTGTTGGCGATACACGGGTAGATCCCCAGAGCTCCGAGGAAGGTGCCAGCATACTTGACCTGGGCGCTTTCGGTGGCAATGAGCATGCAGAAGCCTACTATGCCGATGAGACTGACACCAATATTACATAGGCCACGTTGTTTCGTCCTGTCCGCCACATATCCGATAAAGATGGTGAAAATCGCCGCCGCAGCATAAGGCGGAACCGTCATCAGTTGCGATCGTACGATACTCGTATTCCATCCAAGTTCGTTGACGATAGTAGGCAAGAACAGGCTGAAGGCGTACAGCGGCATGTCGCAGCCCATGTAGATGACCATTCCCAGCCACATCTTCCAGTCCTTTACGGCCTGCCAGAAGAAGGTCATCTTGAACTCTTCATGGTTGGCAGAAGCCTGCTGGTCCATCTTGAGACGGCGGATGACGCGGGCCCGATCGTCGTCAGAGAGAAACTTAGCCTCATCGGGGAAGTCGTGGACCATCCAGAAGGACGCGACACCGAAGATCACGGTAAGGAGGCCCTCCAGAATGAAGATCCATGCCCAGCCCGGGCGGCCGCCGACGCCGGCCATTTGCTCGATTCCTGCTGCGAGGGCACCGCCGAATGAGCCCGAGATGGCTGCTGCTGAGAAGAAGATGGCCTGGACAGGTTAGCTGGATGATATGTCAAGCTAGGTTGGGAACGTACAGCACGAATGCCGAATTCTGATCTCTTGTACCAACACGACAGGTAGTAGTTGACACCAGGGAAAAGCCCAGCCTCGGTAAGACCCAAAAACCAGCGTGCAGCCATCAACCCACTCCAGTTGTGTACGAATCCCATGCCCGTCATCGATGCACCCCAGAGAATCCTACATTTGATCAGCACATGGCACCGGGTTAAAAGTCCCAAGGGGCCGTCCATAACTTACATGATGATTGGAATAAAGATTGATGGCCGCAACTTCTTGAGCAGGATGTTCGTCAAGGGCTCGAATACCGCATACGAGACGAAGAAGATGGTGAGCGACGAGTTGTACATGGAGCTCGTCAATCCCAGGTCTTTGTTCAGACCAGCGATTTTCGCATTTCCAATGTTGGTTCTGTCGAGGAAAGCTAAGAGGTAGAGGATGCATAGCTGTATTGCTGTCAGTCAAGCGCACTTATACCCACAGAAAAGCATGCATGATACGTACCCATGGAATGAGGATCCAGTCAAGCCGCCTGACTAACTTTCGTTCCTACAATGTGCATGTCAGTTTACTGGGTTTTTGATTGGATGTAGGGCCATGACATACGACTTGAAGCCTCTCTTCTTCACTGAGATGCGCATCAGGGTCACGCGGAATATCTTGCGTGCCTGGGTCTGATGTATGCGAGGCCGCAGCCTTCTCCGTGTCGCTCATGGTGGCGGGATGTATCTGGAGCCGATCTCAACGTCTGGTCTCGACTGACATCAAAGCGGGAGACCTGGGAAGAGAAAAAGACAAGCTTCGCAGTAGAAAGCTCAGGTTTTTCGAATAGACTTAGTTAGTCAGATGCTGGGGAAAGGTCTGAGTCAACGCTGGCTCAGTGGCGGACGAATGAGTTTGGGGTGATAACCAATGTTCTTGACGGGAGCCAAACCAGATCGGCGGGAGACCTGGTCAAATATAAACTAAGGAGACCTGCCCGCGACGGCGGGAGGTGGGGAACGCAAGAGCAACCCTCCCCCATCACCGGCAGACGGCCTTCGGGATACACTCGGCAATGGAACCTGCTCTGTGACTGGTAGCCAAACCGCTGCAGCGGAACAAGTGGCTTATCGTTAGTAGCCATTGGGGGCTCCACGTTTGGCGTAGAACAGAGGACTCGGTCAAGGGATGTTGATGCGCCGCTTTCGAGCGGCGTGGTGAATCTGAAATAATACAATGTTAGGGCGTCTAGTATGGAGTAGACTCGCGCGGTTGTCCTGCAGGACCAAGACTTGGAACACGGGCGGCGACGTCAATAGTAAAGGGATGAACCTCGGCAGCAATATCTGCTTCTCGAAGGATGCGAGAGAAGCCAAGGGGGGGACATCGGAGACATGCGTGCATCGACTGAGTCCTCTGACATGTCTTAGCCTTGCGAACTCCAGTTCATGACCACGGATGTGTATTCACCATGAACCGAGATCCCGAGACCCATGGTGACTTGCTAGGCAGACTAGAATAGCTGGGTTCACAGCATATTCTGATTTCGTGCTTAAAGAAGTCACAGGGCAGCGGTAGAGAGGGCGCAACCCACCCGTATCGAATGCTTCTCCCGACAGAGTGAAAGCTTGCCAGTGGAGCAAGTTCATGGCATGGGCCGGGGGCTCCATCCGAAACTCCATTCGCCCGTGGGGAGAGTCTGGGGAGGGGGATTCTTCCCGTTGAGACTAAGAAGAGAGGGGGGGGGGTCTAACGGTCATCGGTCCGCATGGGAAAGCGAAGAGTAGCTTATCTCCGGCGTGACCCCGCGGTTGCAAGCTCAGTCACTCGACCACAACAAGCATCGATCTGCGCCTTAGGCGCTCTAGCATTGGGGCGAGCTGATGCCGGGCAAGCTTGATTTGACGGCCGACACTTCGGACTGAAAAAGAAGTACCGCTGGATCTGCAGTAAGCTCGGTCAATGGCAACTAGTTGACAGCCCCTCAAGATGATGCCAGCCACTCCGCCCTTCCAGCTAGTCCTAGTGGGACGGGGAACGGGCTGGGTCGTTGTGCATGTATTTCAAATACACCCACGTGAGGACAAGGGTGACGCCGTTGCTCGAGATCTGTGCAGTAGTCGCACGAACACCGCAGAGTGGCACAAGAAACACCGTATAGCGAGGTTGGATGGCCAATGATGCCGTGTGCTCGGCTGGCCTGGTCTTGCTGTGCGACTGAGATACACTGCAGATGGCCGCCCCGCAGATAAGTCGTTGATAATTAGAATAGGCAGGTCCATGACTACAATGGACTGGCGTGCGATCACGAGCATGATTCAAGCATATCGCTGGTTCGAAGACCGACGTCGCTTGGGGGTTCGTCAACGAAATGGTGCCAATTATGTTGGATGCATTTGCGCCGTTAAATGGCCCCGGGATGGTAGGTCTTGTCCCGGCTTGGCATGCTGCAGCGCCTTGATCCGCAACATAGAAAGCTATTGATTATGCTGGACCGTTGAATGGATCAAGCATTAGTCGGTGCTGAATATTCGTCCAAAGATGAGTGGACGGAGGCTAGGCATTAGGTGCCATCTGAAGTTCTGAACACGAGTAGGTAGGTCCACTGACTGCACGAAGCCGAAGAGATATCCATGTCGATGCGGCGCCTGGTCCCGAACCGGCCGTAACGGGTCCCGACACCCTGGCTTGGCAATCCGCGTCCGGTGCCAGGCTGGCGGTAGGGAGGGCCCGTCGGTCGGGACATGGCAGAGAGCCGTCGATAATTCTCTGTCGCAAGCCGAGTGGCCGTTGTTGAGCCGCTCCAGCCATCGGTTGTCTCGAGGAACCACTGCTTTCATGTTCCAAGCTCTCGGGGCGGGAGCTTGCCTCTAGAGCTCATTGACTGAATGGTTCTCCTCAGGTTTCGGGAGCTTGCGGATAGCTGAACTTCCAAGCTCGACATCCTGGACTTGTTCGACGCGTGAAATTGGCCAAAGACAAGCTGTCTGGAACTGCCTACGCATGAAGGCTCTTAGCATTCTGGCACTGCTGGGGCTGAAAATGCGTGCCGCATGGTCGCTTGCGGGAGGGGTTGAATTGAATGGTCCGGCTTGGGCTGCATTGCATGAATGGAGAATGATTCGTAACTTTGAGTAGCCATTCAATGAGCCAATCTCCTCGATAACATATCGGCGTGCAACGAAAAGCGATGCCCAGACTGCGAGCTGCAGTTGATGCGATGACGGAGGATGGAGGAAGAGAGTTGGGGGATAGTGATGATGGAGGCCAGTGGAATGGACGGTAGTTGCCAGCCGGCGAAAGATCAAGCCGGCTGGCAACGCATAGAGCGACCCCAGCTGAGTCATCGCGGATAGCGCCGGTGTCGATCGGCGACAAGCCCCACCATTGCCGCTAATCCCCGACCGCGACGATGGCGCTTTCGGCGGTGGCTTCTGACGTGAGAACTTCATCTCTCACTCGATGAGAGGCTGCAGTGCTCACTGTCACATATTCTCGTCCTCGAGGGAGTGCATATACTCTACTCGCTACCCAATTCATCCACAATTTTATCTCCTAGCTATCCAACAGGGGTTTGATTCTCTCAGTGGGGGGCAATTCAGTACTCAATCTCACCCCGCCATCCCCTGCGTTGAGACCCGTCACCATGGCCAAACGTGTATGCATCGTCGGTAAGGACTACCATTTCCCTAAGGATTGATTCTATGCTAACACAATAATCTTAAGGCGCCGGTCCCTCCGGCCTTGTCGCCGCAAAAACTCTCCTCCACAACGCACCAAAAGGCGCCTTTGACGTGACAATCTTCGACGCCCAACGACGCATTGGCGGTCTATGGCCCACGCGCCGCGACGATGTTGACGGCCTCGTCCACCCTCTCATGCTCGCCAATCAGAGCAAGCACACCGTGCAGTTCAGCGACCTCGCCTGGGCCCCCGAGGACCCGGACTTCCCGCGCGCTTGGATGGTCGGCCGGTACCTGGAACGCTACATCAAGCGTTACCTCAAGGGCACTGATGCTGCCACCGCCGCCAACGTCAAGCTCGGCCACCGCGTCGTCGAGACGGAGCTCTCTCCTGAAGACGGATCATGGACCGTCACCGTCGAGAGTGAGGCCGGCGGGAGGGAGACGAGCGTGTTTGACTACCTGCTCGTGTCCTCTGGCTTCTTTGGCAAGCCCGTTGTACCAGACGTCATCTCTGGTGGCGCAGGTACGGAGATCCCCGTGGTACACAGCAGCAAGTATCGCGATCTTCGGACCTTGTTCCCCGATGGCGTGAAGAACGGCGGCAAGATCCTAGTCGTGGGAGGGCAGATGTCGGGCGTCGAGATCGCGGGGACTATTGCGACGCACATTTCCTGCGCCGTCAACGCGCCGGACCCGAGCCCCGTACCAAACGCGGAGAAGCTCACAGTCGAGCATCTTACTCAGCGTCCTACTTGGGTGTTTCCTCTCCACACTACGCCAAAGGTAAGTCTTGCCATATCCCGAGCACCGCGAGAGAGAGCCAATCCGCTGACACAATCCCAAGCCCGGCGCGAAAGCAGCCCCCTTCTTGCCCCTGGACTTCCCATCCTACAACCTCAGCAACCGCCCACACCCCCTCGAGAATAGCCAAGGCCACATCACCCCAGACGCCGCACGCCTGACCCACGGCATCTACACAACCTCCCTAGGCCAGGACCAGTCCGACTTCTCCCCCTCCGTCGCCGTGACGCCCAAAGACCACTCGGACCCAGCCTTCCTCGCTGTCTCAGAGAACTACATGGAATTCATCCGCGCCGGCCTCATCAATATCACAACCGGCAAACTCGATTCGGTCACCGGCACAACCGCAAAGATCACGAACCCCTCCTCCGCCGCCACTTCAGAAGTTGAGAACGTCGCAGCCGTCATCCTCGCAACGGGCTTCGACCCGTCCCCCTGCCTCTCCTTCCTCCCCTCCTCCGTCCTCACAACCCTAAACCACTCCCCCTCCCACAATTCTCTCCCCCTCGCCCTCGCCTTCCACGGAACACACGTCAAAGACCTCCCGACCCTCGGCTTCGTAGGCTTCTACAGATCCCCCTACTGGGGCGTAATGGAAATGCAAGCCCGCTTCCTCTCCGCCCTCTGGACGTCATCTTCTTCCCCCTCCTCACGCCCACCGGCCCTTACCGAAGCCCTCTTAGACGACGCCTCAGACTGGCGCACCGTCTCCCTCCGCGACGACCCCCGCGCCTCCCAGTTCCCAATGGGCGACTACGCCTACCTAATGCAGCAATTCTCCCTCGCCCTCTCCATCCCCATCTCGCCACCCGCGGCACCTTTAACCCCGGCCCTCCCTCACAACAACAAACCGATGGACATACTCACCCCAGCCCGCTACCTCCCCCCTCTGGCCTCCGAATCCGCCAAATTCGAGGCCGAGAAGTCTTTAACACAAACAAATGCCACCGCAATCGCAGGCCTAACGACATCCCGCTTCGTGCCCCGCGCCGTCTTCCGCAGCTTATTGGGGACATGGAAGCTAGAACGCGATCTCACGAGTAGATTACCGAGCCACCCAAGCGGCCACTTCAGCGGCACAGCACAATTCCTCCTCCGCAACAAGACGGCCGACGGCCTCAAGTGCGCCTCCGGACCCGCCTCCGCGGATGAAACCCCAGACGATGACGACGGCGCCCTGGCAACAGAATACCTCTACATCGAAGACGGCGAATTCCGCGCCTCAAACGGCCTCGTCTTCCGCGC